TTCTGGGTTCTGCCTGTCTTTTCTTCTCATAGGTGCTGTACCACGGTGCCGCTCTCTTTAAAAACCAAACAAGCAGCCATGCTCCCCGCTGCGTTCATCCGTTCATCCGTTCATCCGTGCCCCTTCGGCTCTGAGCCCTCTCCTTTTGCAGTCTTGCCTGGGATACCTGCTGCCATCCCTCCTGCCCAATCCACATTCCCTCCAAGCTCTGCTTGAGTCTCACCTGGGCAGTTTAGTTCTCGAATCTTCCAAGATGTCTTTACACTTGGTCAGATCCTTTTCTTGTCCTCTCTTTCGTGTGAGGCTTTATCTTCTCTCAGAGCTCTGATGCTCTTAGGTAACCTGCTTTAGGCCTTTTCCTGTGACCCTTGCACCTCTAACTCCCGTGGGTCAAGTCCTTGCTGACGAGAATGCTGAGGAAATGGAGGAATCTGCACGGGGAACCTGGCTGGATAGTCAGGCTGGTGGAATTCCCACCCTTTCCCCAAATATACCCATAGATATCCACTAATTCTCATCTGTTCAGGGATCAGCAGAGGCCCATGGTGTACTCAGAGAAACAGCACACACTTAAAAGTGCTACAGTCTAGCTGGGAGGTCAGTGTGGATACTTCCTGGTCATATTCCTGTTAGCCCAGAGATGGCAAAAAAAAAAAAAAAAAAAATTAGGGGCGCTTTTGCTCTTGTGCCCCTGAGCAGACAGGACTGCACTCATCACGTTCAGCTGTGGCTTTGCACCTTTATCTCCCTGTCTAGAACGGGTGCTCTCAAAGGCATGTGCATCTCCTTTATTTCTGGGGCTCCAGTTTCACACCCAGCGACTAGCATGTAGGGCCGTTAAGTAAATGCAGCAGCTGTCTCACGACACCATGCTTTGTTTCCTGTGGTTTCTGTTAGCGATGGTCAACTGGGGCCTGAGGATATGAACTGTTTGCTTCTGGAACTTTCCATTTAAGGAATTTTAAGTCGAGTTGCATGATGACATCTTGCACCTTCCTGCTTCCTCCCAGGCTGGGCATGTGCCATTTTCCTTTGTCCAGTGTATCCGCCTTATGCAAGTCATCCCCTCATTGCTCACTCGCTAGCTCTGCTGTCAGATTCCCTGTGTAGGTACCGAAGTGGTTTGGTACTGGAGGGGTGGGGGTGGGTCTTATCTTCTGTGGTGATGAATTAGTGAATGTGTCCAGAGTCATCAGAGCACAGAATGAAGAGGCAATTAGAAGATCAGGAGTAGATGGCTTTGGAGCAGGTGTGTGTGTGTGTGTGTGTGTGTGTGTGTGTGTGTGTGTGTGTGTGTAGATGAATATGCACATGCACTGTGGACTGAACTCAGGGAATGGAGCATGTAAGCATCTGCTCTGCCACTAAGCCACAGCTCCAGCTTTGGAGCCGATTTTTGAGACAATGGATTTGCCGAGTATTTGGGAGAGGAAGGGCATTCCTAAGACACTACCAAGGCAGAGATGTAAGTGATGTGCAGGGTTAAAACAACAAACAAACAACAACAACAACAAAAAACCAAACCCAAACAAAAACCTCACCTGACGTGGACTGGCGTGAGAAGGGGTAGGGCAAAGGAGAGATTCAGGAAAACGAATCCTCGCCTTGTACTCCACAAGCTGCCATGTGTCCTGCAGATCGACTGATGTAGGCATTGATCCGAAACTTCTTCCTGGATATCATTCTTTCTTTGTTTTTTTTTTGTTTTTCAAGACAGGGTTTCTCTGTGTAGCTTTGCGCCTTTCCTGGAACTCACTTGGTAGCCCAGGCTGGCCTCGAACTCACAGAGATCCGCCTGCCTCTACCTCCCGAGTGCTGGGATTAAAGGCATGCACCACCACCGCCCGGCCATCATTCTCTTTTTGCCAAACCCCCAAATCTGACTTCCCATTGCTGCTTGCAAACCCATCAAGTGGAAAACTTTAATACACTTAAGAATCTCCTAGAAGGCTCTTGTAAAACATGCAGATCCTGACTTCTTGAGATAGCATGAGGGCTAGGACCCTACTCTCCTAACTAGTTCCCAAGTGGCACCAAAGAGGCCAGCAGAGGACCCTACCTGGGGAAATGAGCCTCTCAGGTGAAAGCCTGTAGTCTGGACTACGCGTTTTAAAGGAAAAAGGAAATTGCCTTCGTTTGGAGTATTTCTAACCTGACTTCTCCCAGCAGGGTAGGTAATTGAATGCTGTCCAATAAAATCTTCAGTGATAAATGGCACCTGGCAGAAATGCCAAAACCACAGGGCTTCACATCCAAAAAAGCCGGTCTTGATTGCTAGTGTCATTGGTCTGCAGAACACCTCTGAGTTTCTGCTTCCTGGCCTCCTGTGGCTCTGAGGAGAGGCTTGTCCCCTTGCAACAGATGATTGCTGGGGACCCAGTGGCTATGAGAGGCTCTGACATAGCCCCCATCTCCTGGTCCCTGATCTGGCCACTGCTGGTCCTTGATCCTGGAGGTCTGAGCTGGACCCAAACTCTTTAAAGTCTGAATACTCAGTGACCCTTAGCCAAATTCAATTCTAGGGAGAAGCAGAATTTAGGATTATTTCTTGCCTCAGCTGACTATTAAATAGAAGCTTCCAGACTTAGCATGAAGTCAAGTGAAACAGCAAAGCACTTGCCTTCAGTTTCTGGGCCTCACAAGGCACCATACGGTGCATTAAGAAAAAAGGAGGAGGCCGGCTACATCAAACTAAAAATTTCCGGCAAGCCGGTCTAGGCTGAAAAGTGTCTGCTGCAGCCTGGTTGGTGTTGCAGCCCGGGACTTGGCTGCATGGGCCTGAGCAGAGCAGGTGGCCTGAGGGGTGCCAGTCAAGCCCTCTGGGCACACACCTGTGACCTGTGCACCATGGGAGGGGTCTCAGGGCCTTAGGGTGAAGGGGGTGGGCACTGGAGGAGACTCCCCTGAAATTCCTACTCCTGCACTGTGGCTCCGTGCTGGGACTGTGTTGGTGTGACAGAGGCACTGGGGACAGGGTCTGTGCACCAACTGGACGTCACTCCTCTGCCTTCTCACAGCCCTGCCTTGAAGCTCCGTTTGGCTTTGGGTCTTGTGCCCCTAGGAAAGCTTCAGAGACCTGGCTGGACTTCCCTCTCCCCTTCCACGTTTCCCACGGCCCCCCGCCCCCCAACTCTGGTTCCTCTCTAAATACATTCATTCCTCCAGTCCCATCCCCGAATGGTCAGTCACCTCCGGGTTAGTGAATATCAAGTTTCAGCCAGGCACTGTGCAGAATGCTCAGCTTGCTCCTTCATAGCTTGCTTCTTGACTGCATCAACTTCAGGGGGCTCTGTGTCTCCTTACCCAGCGATAAATCACGTGGAATACTGGGGGTGTGTATGTAGGGGGATCAGTGCCTTACAAAGAGCTGGGTTTGAATCCTGGCCCTGAACCATCACATGTAAATCGGACAATCAGATTGTGATCCCTGTCTGCGCATAGATAAAGGCCCGCGACTGCTGTGTAAGAACCTGCGATTGCTCGACTCTGCCCACTTCTTTGCTTAGGCCCACCTCTACCCCAAGCTCTTCTACTTGTGAAAAGCCTTTATGTTTTCCCTCCTTTGAAATAACAAGTTTCAAACATACACCAAAGCCAAAAGAACGTACCTCAGACATCACGAAACATCTGGGACCATCAGTGACATTACCCACTCTGGTGATGCCCAGAACTGTTTTCTCCTCTGTGTTTTTATGGAATATTTAAGAGTCTACACTACTTCATTTCACCTGTAGCTGCATCTCTAACAGGTGAGGCTGTTAAAACAAAACCACGATTTTTTTTTTTTTTGGCGCGGGGATTCAAGGCGGGGTTTCTCTGTTGTAGCCTTGACTGTCCTAGAACTCACTCTGTATACCAGGCTGGCCTCAAACTCGGAGATCCACCTGCTTCGGCCTCCCAAGTGCTGGGATTATAGGAGTGTGCCACCACTGCCAGGCAAAACCACGATTTGTATGGCAGCTGACATCAGAATTATCTGTTGATATAATCAATGCACAGTTTATATTTACTCCCCCCTTGTTGTCTCAGAAAAGGTCCCTTTCCATCGATTTGTTGGAGTCAGGGTCCCTCAAAGGTTCATGTTCTATTCCCTTGTAAAACAAACAAACAAACAAACAAACAAACAAACAAACAAACAAAAAACCTCTCAGGTGTTTGTGTGTCAGCCTTCTGTGACATGGTCTGCTTTCTGCTGAAATGCTAGAGTGATGAGAAAGTCATACTTCCTCAGAGCCTCCTGCCCACCTCCTTGAACCCTACTCAAATAATACAAAGCAACTCTTGTGTGTGTGTGTGCATCTATCTATCTATCGATCGATCGATCGATCCATCCATCCATCCATCCATCCATCCATCCATCCATCCAACCATCCAGAGAGAGAGAGACAGAGACAGAGACAGAGACAGAGAGAGCCAGAGCCAGAGAGCATCTGAGCACACAGGTGCCCGGCACGTGTGTTGAGGTCAGAGGATGACCTGTAGCTCTCTCCTTCCACCAGGCGCATTCTGGGGGACCACACTCAGGTCATCATGTTTGGCCGTGGCTGCATGCACCTTCACCCCCTGAATCATCTCACTGGCCTCGTGGTGTTTTTAAATGGTAAGAAGGACTTCCTTACAGGCCTTTGGAATAAATAGATGGCTCCAACAGTCTCTTTCTTTCTTTTTATTCTCTTCCCTTCTCCTTTCTCTCCAAAGGGTCTTGCTTTGAAGCCTCCGGTAGCTTCAAACTCAGGGCAATCCTGTTTCTACTTCCCTACCGCTAGGATTACAGGCATGTGCCTCCTCACCTACATTTCTCTAGGAAATTTCAAAATCTAAAAATTATTTCAAGTGCAGTAGAAAGGCAAGATTTGATTTAGTTCTGAGTTTAGAGGGTAAAAAATTCTGGCAACTTAATTTCTTCCAGAAATATCATTTTTATGCCCTCCCACCTGCTTTTTGAAATCCACCAACCACAATATTTACTCCATTCCCCATTTTTCTCCCTTTCCCTTACACACCACCCCCCTCTCTTTTTAGCAGCCACATACAAGTCGGCCATATTAGAGAGATGGAAATAAAGCTTCCTTAATGTTGTACATGTCTTTGAAGTACATCCGTGCATTTTCTTTTTTAGCATCTAACCATTCCTCCCTTCTGGTCCTTGGTCCCTCAATCACCCTCTCCCATAGCCCACCCGCCTAACATCACAGTCTCTGAAAATGCACAGGGATGCCTGGCTACCTCGCCCTGCCTTCAGTCTCACGGGGCTCAGTCTGTTTTTCACTTTGGGTAAGTTAGAACCACATCTGCATGCTCCTAAGGGTCAGAAGTACAGCTGCAGCTGAAGGAGGAGGGGGCGGGGGCAGGGGGGAGGGAAGAGTGGGAGCGTCCCTCTGTGTCCTTGGGAAGGGGCGCGATGGGGATCTGGGACCTAGCTGGGATGCAGGATGCTGGGTGACTTGGTCACAAAAATGTTGACTAGGGGATGAGTGTTGCTTGGTGATGGGAATGATCAAAATAATCAAGAGGTGTTTTTTTTTTCTTTTCTCCCCTTTGGATTTCCCTGAAGTGGACCTATGTGGGGGGTGGGGCAGAGCTAGGCTGCTCTTCAGTCACTTCATGGATTTTTCTTTTTCTTTTTCTTATTATTATATTATTAGTATAGTTTTCATTTTTAGCTGCTTCTGATGAGAGCTCATAGGAGCTGCTGGTTTATCTAAACAGTCTCTTGTGAGCCCTGTTCCCTGGAATCCGGTGGATCTAAAGGGTTAGGAGAGAGTGTTCTGGAGAGTTGGGGTTGGGGGGGCAGAAAGTTGAGACTGTCCCACCAGTTTGTTGGGATGTATGTGGGAGGAATTGGGGATGAGGCTTGAGGCTGGGTTCTGAGGAGAAATACCAGAGAAGCTGCTGCTGGAGCAGGCACCCCTGGTGTGGACCTGATGGAGAGGTCAGGTGTCCAGGATCCAGGAAAAAGGAGAAAAATATAAATGGCACCTATGGACGAACAAGGTGTGGTCCTTTAAAACCTGTCTCAGAACAGTCTGTCCCAGCCTTTCAGACCACCCTGTCATGTGGTCCTAAAGTCAACTTCATATTTGAACACTCAGAGACTTCATGCCAGGCAGGCAGGTGGGCGAGGTTGTTTATAAGCCTGCTTCCCTCTGCACCCATCCCCCACCCCTCCATGAGATAAGGTCTCACTATGTAGCCCTGGCTGGCCTCAAACTTTCAGTGATTCTCCTGCCTCTGTCTCCTCCTGGGTGCTGGGAGTCTAGACAAGTGCCACCATGCTGGGCTCTAAACCTGCTTTATAGACAGTTTTATTCTTGATCTTAAAACTCCCTCAGCAGTGCCTGAGGGTCAAGTCCAAGCTATAATATTCTCCACCACAAATCAGTTTCTCTCTCTCTCTATCTGGGAGCCTGCAAGATAAGGATCTAACATCTTCCTTCTTGTGAAACTGGACCTAAGTTTAAAGCTATCTTTGTTCTTTACTTCATAACCATGGGCAAGATGCTACCCACCCTGAGGATCACTTCTATGGGTGACTGGAGATTGTCTCTTGCTTGGTGAACTTGTGACTTGACACAGTGCAGGGGCCAACAGTGGCAAATCTTTCTGCATTCTTCCTCAAGCCCTGGCATGGCCTATCTTGGTTAGCCCTCACAGCAATTATCTGAGGCAAACACTATGATTCTATTCGTGTTCCAGGGCGGAACCAGAGGCACGGAGAAGTTAAGTAACTCATCCAGTCAGGTCATGTGACTGGCATAAGGGAGCTGAGATTTGAACTCCCACATGACTGACTTAGCACATTCTCTTTAACATTGAGTTCTACCACCCCCAAAGTTCAGGAAATGGTACTGCTCTATTAGCATTAATTGTAAGAATCTCAAGTTCAGGTTACAAAGAGATGGGTGAGTGGTTATACACACACACACACACACACACACACACACACACACACACACACACACGCCAGAGCTGGAGGCCAGAGTCTCCTCTCAGAAGTTAGCCACTGCCTCATGCCAGATGGAGGCTGCCTACGCCAGCCACATCTAAGTGAAAAGGCCAGGGGCCCTGGCAACAGGACCAGCTAACCTGGGCTTGAGGGAGATGGTGCCATGGATGAAGAGGTCTGTGTGTCAGGGCTGTAAGAGGGAAGAAGTGGATATTTCAGCAGGCCTGTGAGAGTAGAGACCTTGATCTTGAAGCTGTGAGGAGGCATGCCTCTGCCGTGGAACTTGGGTGGCTGTGCTAAGAGGAATCACCGGGATGAAGGGATGTCACAGATATTAGGAGGGGCATATGGGGATGACTGTAAAGGTGGCACACAGCTATTCCCATGACAGAAATTCCAGTGTTTCTCAAGACCATCAGTTCTTTAGCTGCTAGCCTGGTCATCAAAGTCTGGATTATATTGGAACACAGAGTGGAGTATGGTCCTCAATCAGTCTGACCACACATATTTGCAGCTAAAGTGGGACCTAGATGTGGAGGAGAATGCCTCTTCCCACCCCCATCCCCCCGGCAACAAAATTTAATTGAGCACTTACTACGTGCTACATGCCTTTCCAGATGCAGGGATACCAACATGAATAAGGAGTTCCCAGGGCCTCTTGAGAGACAAAGGTACATGAACCACAGCAACTAAGCATTGTATGTACTGTAAGAATGTCAGGTATAGGGATAGTGCTAGAAGTCATCTTTTGCTAGTAGCTGTGTGCTGGACACTGTGCTGAGCTTTGTACACACCACATGTCATTTAATTGTCACGATAGCCTCAGTAGCATTAGTGTCCTCCGAATTACAGAGAGGCAGGCCATTGCAGCATTGGAGGGTTCATGACCTTGCCTCAGATCATATCAAGATCTCTCGACCACTCGGCCCCCAAGTCACTGGAAGAAATAGGAACCTGGTTGGGGAAGAACCAGACACTGGGTAGATGTCACCCGAGCTGTACCTTATGAATAGGGTTTGAGGTTTCTGTGGAAGAACTCCAGGGAGGGAGATGAGCAAACTTCCCAACCTAAAGCAGAAATGTGGACAAGGGCCCTGTGCAGGGCAAGGAAGAGGAACGTCAGTGTTGGAGTCCCTGGAGTCACATGGAGGGATGGAGCCGGCAGGAAATGTGGCTGTGGTGGGTCATCTGGGAGCTGCACCTGGGTGCCAGAACTTGGCCCTAAAAACAGCAGGGAGCCACTGGAGTCTTGGAGGTAGGGACCATGAGTACAGCTGGGTGATTGGGGAGGAGACCTGGGCAGGAGGATCTGCGTGGAAAGGCAGGAGAGGAGGTAGGGTGAGATGTCTCATTTGCCTGGGAGGCAGGGGCTGCCCCAGAGGACAATTCCTCTTCCTCTTCCCCCTTCCCCTCCTCCTTCCTCCCCTCTGTTTCTTTCTTTCTGTTTTCCCTCAAGAATAAAACAAACTTATAGACTGCTTTAGGGCTAGAAGGAGGAGTAAAGGGAATTCACTTCCGGTCTTTAGGAGAGACAGTGTTTGGTAGATAAATAGCCCAGGTTTAGGGTCTCTGCAGGATGGGCCAGGGCTTGAAGAACCCAGCTGGGGCAGGTCCTGGGTTGTCACATCCTTACATTCCCTTTTCCCACCACCTCCTTTCTGTGAGTTGGAAATCACAAGACCTAGACCTCAGACCTGGTCCCAAAGAGGACATTAGGAGATTCATGAATTCCCACTGTGGAGTTCCTTAACAGAACACTGTCTGCTGGGGGCCTGCCTGGAGCTGGGGACTTGGAGCTGCGGGTACTCATTAGGACACCTTGGAATGACAATGACATCCCTACACAGCTTGGCTCCTCACCTCAGCCCTGCCTGGAATCAGGCTCTAGTTTCGATTCCTGGCAGTGACCTTGGGTTAGCCGCTTCATTTCTTTGTGCTCCAGTTCTTCATCTGAAAGCGACCGGCGGTAGATCATGCTTGCCGGGGGTGTGTGCTCAGTTGAGGTAGCAGAGATGGCCGCACCGCTGCCAGGCCGTTGTGACGGCAGGCCTGTTGGTGAGCCTGGATCCATCCTTTCCAGAAGCACTGGGATCAACTGTCAGTTCTGACCTTGGCCAGCGCTTTCCTGAATTTAGTGAGAGCCTAAACTGACTGAGAGACTGAGGCCTCAGCCTGGAACCCCTGAGATTCTCATGAGGTCTCGGGCTGAATCTCAGACCAGCAGGTGAGAGCCATCTTCCTGGCTTCAGCTTGTCCCTGTTCTCAGAGCGTCTCCTAGTCCTCTTTCCTCACAATAAAAGGATGGCAGTTGATCTACAGCCTGGGAGGATCCCCTAGCTCTGGCTTCCTTTAGTTTGCCCCCCCCCCCACCCACCCACTTCTTCTTTGCTGGTGGGACTTGCCAGTTGACCTCTACGGCCACTAGAGGGCACACGAATCCCATCCGGTGCCTCTTGCAGGGCACATGCAGGGGAAACCGCATTGCACCTTTCTCTGTCTCCTGGCACCAGCCTGAAAACACCTCTGACTCCCGACGATTCTGCCGCCCGACATAGTGGCATGCCGGATCTTTCTAGATGAGATGATGGAGATGCCAATCAGACATTCAAATTCAACTGCTGGGGTGGGACAGGTTGGAGAGGGCGGTCTTTACAGAGCTAGTTGGTTTCAGAGCATTTGGGGGGCAGGGGTGGGACTTGGAAGGTGGGAGCCCTTTCAGGGGAGGGGCCGGAGAGGTTGGGATGACCAGCATAGGAGGTAAACTCAGGACAAACCTCCATCAGTTCTTTCCCTCAGATTTCTTAGTCTCTACAGCATGGGGGTGGTGTTAATATTTTCTGCACACCTCCTCCTTGCCTGGCACTGGTCCAGGTACTTTTAGACTCGATATGAAAGTGCAAGAGCCGGGAGCTAGGCGCTGTCCCTCTTGGGAGGGGCCCCATCAGCTCCCCCAGTTGATAGTCCCCTTGTGCTCATCTAGTGTCATTGGCCCTGCAGTTGAGGTCCATACATCTGCCACCATCCAGGCTTTGGAGGGACCTTCCCGGCCAGCAGTCCGGAGAACCTCCTCTCCTTAAGTTCTGAGCTTTGTGAGGCCTTTGCAGGGATGTACTGAGCAGAAGGATGCTCTGGGTAGGCTTAGCTTCGTGGCTTGCAGGCTGCCTTACTTCTGTTTCTGGGGGCGGGGCCAGCAGATTTGTGGGACCGAACAGTTGGAGAACCAGGATCCTTGCAGCCTGGCTCCTTAGCTACATTTGGGGGAAGTCCAAGGGTGTCAGTCTCCAAGGTACCCTCAGGTCTAGAGATCCCCCACCTCTGCTCTTAAGCCCTTTCTGTTCCAAAGCGGAACTTAAGGAGAATGAGGTTAATAACAGCTGCCATTTGCTGAACGCCTAGTTCTTATTTTAGTCATGGTAACCACCCAGTGACAGTGCCATGAACTAGGTTTTCTGGAGGAGGAGGTTGAAGTATGGGGAGGTGAGGGAGTCTGCCTACGGTTCTTACAGTTGACTGAGGCTAGAACTGGGGTGGAATCCAAGTGGAATCAAGGTGTGTATGTGAGGGGGCATGTATCTGCCCACATCTATAGCTGTAATTTTCACTCAGCTGGCATCTCAGTTGACCACCCTTAAACTCCCCAGAATCATCCCAACTCCTATGTTCTGGCCCCTTGGCCTGGTCCTTGCCCAACTCTGACTTCAGGTCTTATCATACCCTGTCTTGTTTTTTTTTCTCAGATGTGTGAAGGTCCATCCCAGCCATGAGAATGTGGCCCTTGATATTCCTAAATGGCTCGTTCCTTCTCTTGAGTTAGATGCTTCCTGAATGTCATTCTCTCGGAGCCTTGTTCCCTGACTACCCTGAATAAAACAACTCCCCTCGGCCATACTTCAGTCCTTACAGTCCATGTCATGCAGTGCTCCAGACAACCACAGTCTTATTTTTGTGGTTGTTGCTATATGCCGCCTCACCAGAATACAAGCCCCACAGTGCAGTGACTCTGCCTCAGGCCAGCAACTCCCAGGACCTAAGACTAAGCACCGGGCACACAGTAGATAATTTACATGTATGTAGTAGCTGAGTGAGTGAGGGCTGAGGATGTGGTTCAGTTGGTAAAGTGCCTGCCTACTCTGTGTAAAGTCTCGTATTTGATCTCCAGCAGTAAATAAACTGGGTGGGGTGGTGCGCCCCTGTAATCCAAGCACTCGGAAACTGGAGGTAGGTGAGTCAGAAGTTCAAGGTCATCCTTAGCTACATAGCTAATTCCAGGACAGCCTGGGCTGTGAGAAGAGGCCTGCCTGCCAGCCACACACACTACCAAACCTTGCAAAAAAACAAAAACAAAAAAACAAAAAAACAAAAAAAACCCAACAAAACAACAACATCAAACCCAGAACAAACAAAAAACCAAAACAAACCAAAAAAATCACAAAATAAAAAATGAAAATGAATAAGTGACTGATGGTGAATGTCACTCTGGGGGTTTGATCTGAGCAATCACTCTACCTCTGAGTTATGGCCCCTGCCCTGTTAATACTAAATTAATTTTTTAGAATGCAGTTCTAACAGTCTTAGCAGAGGATCTTGGAATTAAGGTCAGGGTGAATCTGAGGCAGCCTGAGTCCATCTGAGAAGGTACTTTTTTTTTCATACCTTGAAGGTGCGTGTCTCTGTAACTGCTGGACCCTGGGCAGCTTGCCTGTCTTGCTTAAGCTCTGCTCTGCCTAGGGTCCCCTAGAGGCACTTTCCTGGATTGCAGCACCCAGGCCCTGCCCTGAGTCTGGTGCCTCGGGCAGGACTTCAAAGACATTTCTTTGTCCACACTACCACCTGACAATTTGAAGCAGCTTTTTGCCATGGTGTTTCCAGGCCGACATTTCCCAAAGGGGAGGTCTCCCCCTAGGTCAATCGACACTGCCTTAGAATGACACCTCTTCCCCTGGGATGCCTTTTCCCTCCTGTCTGCCCTCTATCTTGTCTGTGAGAGCCTGGGGATGATCAGAGGCCTGTGCTGGGCTAGGCAAGAGGGAGGCTTTCCCAGACCCCACCATGCTTTAGCTGCCTGCCCCATGGGAACAAGGATGCTTCCCCTGGCAGGGCTTTGGAGCAGCAAAGATGATCAGAAGTATGTGGAGAACAAGGGGAAACTGAGGCAAGCCCAGTGAAGCCTCTTACTTAGCAGGGAAATGGTATTAGGATAGGTGGAGGCAAGTAGGGGGTCTGCCCACAATGGCCTTAGAAAAGGTTGAGGCCATGTGGCTGTCCGTGGCCTGGTAGACCATTGGATGGCTCTCTTTCGTGCCTGTTCTCCTGTGGACCACATCAGGTGTCCCTTATGTGCTTTGCCCTCCTAACAGCAGCTGCCAGCCCTGCCTGCTTCCCCCTAACTCCGCTCTGCCTCCCTCCATCTACTCACCACTGGCTATAGAAGGGTTGCAACCCTGCCCCCCCTGCCCCCTGTCACTCAGCATCCTCATCAGAGTGTGGTTTTGTCTGCAGTACCCCCAGGGCGGAGCATGGAAGTCACAGTCCCCACCACTCTCAGTGTCCTCAATGGGTCTGATACCCGCCTGCCCTGTACCTTCAACTCCTGCTACACCGTGAACCACAAGCAGTTCTCTCTAAACTGGACTTACCAGGAATGTAGCAATTGCTCGGAGGAGATGGTAAGTCCCAGTGGAGGAGGAGGTGGAGGGAAGTAAGAGCCCCGAAGTATGAAGCCCACCATTCCCATCCCTACATCTGCACTGGACCAGGACTCCTGGAGGATTCTGGGCGGGCTGCCTGACACAGAGGGCATGATGTCACCACAACTGGATGGCCCTTTCAAGGCTAACCCCCTTCTTCCCACGTAAAAAAAAAAAAAGATGAATGGGAAGCGATGATGGGGATGAATGTGGGGGTCTGCACACAATGTCCCCATGATCCTCACAGCCCCTTGCTCACCAGATGCCCACACTATTCTCCCAACCCAGTTCCTCCAGTTCCGAATGAAGATCATTAACCTGAAGCTGGAGCGGTTTGGAGACCGTGTGGAGTTCTCGGGGAACCCAAGTAAGTATGATGTGTCAGTGACGCTAAAAAATGTGCAGCTGGAAGATGAAGGCATTTACAACTGCTACATCACCAACCCACCAGACCGCCACCGTGGCCACGGCAAGATCTACCTGCAGGTCCTTCTGGAAGGTAAGGGTGACTGGGATGCTGAAAGACACGGGCCCTTTTGCTCAGCTTAGCTCAAGGCCCTTCAGGAGGCTGGGACCCCATCTCATCTTCAAGTGCTTGTGCTGGTGGAAGGCATCCATGCCTTCCCTCTGGTCCTTGAGGGAACAAGTCAATCATGCTCATAACCCTCAGTAATAACAGCAGCTTTCAGAGGCTTTGCCTCATTTCATCCACAGAACCCACTGAGAGAGGAGCTGTTAGGCCCATTGTATGGATGAGGAAACTTGGGTTCAAGCATACATTTCTTAAGATCATGCAATTCCTAACTCCTACAATCAAATTTGGGTCTGATCTCCAAGCCCATGGTCTTAAATACTCCATTCTGGGGGTGGAGGGGCTTATTGAGGAGGCTTGGGGGCAGGGATGCTTAGAGGTCAGTGGTCTAGGTTGCTCTGACTTTGACTGATGCCCTGTCGGTGAAGATGAGTCAAGTCAGATCCCTTCATATTTTGGGGAGCAGGGGAGACAGGAGATTTCCTTCCCAGCTGCATGATTCTTTTTCCTTTACCTCAGTGCCCCCAGAGCGGGACTCCACGGTGGCAGTCATCGTGGGTGCCTCGGTGGGGGGCTTCCTGGCTGTGGTCATCTTGGTGCTGATGGTGGTCAAGTGTGTGCGGAGGAAAAAAGAGCAGAAGCTGAACACGGATGACTTGAAGACGGAGGAGGAGGGCAAGACGGACGGCGAGGGCAACGTAGATGACAGTGCCAAGTAACCGGCAGCCCGCCCTGGAGCCCCTCCCCATGTTCTGTCTCCTCTCACTCTCTTCCCTGTACAGTGTGACCCTGCCTGCTCTCTCTCGGTGTGCTTCTCTCTAATAGGACCCCAGGACTGACCTGGGGCCTCACTTCCCATCCCCTGCCACCACCACCACCCCCATACCAAAGGTGACCTCCCTCCCTTCCATCTGAAAACTGCCTTGGTATCTGAGATATGCCAGCCCTGGGGAGAGCAGAGCAGGGCTCTAGCCTGTCAATCTTTGAGGAAGAAAGACCCTGTGCGTGATCCCAAAGACAGGATGGGGGAGGGAGGGCAGTGGGAGAAGAGGTTGGCTGCCCATCTTGTCTAGGGTTTGGTCTGGTGGTGGTTTAAACTGTGGGGGTAGCAGTATGTGTATGTGTGTATGGGTGTGGGGGGTGTCCTGTGCTGACCAGAGGCACTATGGGAAGGACTCATGGTGGCTTTGCTGTGTTCCTCTGGCTATTCCCAGCACAGAGCAGCCATCAGGCTGGGGATGAAGGTAGGGTCCTACCATTTGTGGGGACATTTTTTTTAAAGGAATGACTGTGCATTTTGAGAACACTCAAGGAAAGCTGGAGGGAAGACATTCCTGGACACAAGCCTTGGCCCAGAGAACTCTGTTCTGGCCTCATTTCTATCACTGCTCCCAGGGAGGCTCTGGTTCGCCCTTGACTACTGCTCTCTTGGGGATGCAGGCAGGAGCAGGGCTGAAAAGCAGCATCAGGCAGGATCATACCCCACCCTAGGAACCCCCCAGCAGAAGACCTGTGTCAGAGTCTGCTAGGGGACCGAGGGGTGCTGGCTTCATTGCAAACACGTTTAGCTGCCTTCTCCAAAAAGATGATCACTTTGGTTTCAGCAAGTAGCAGCCAAGGCTCAGAAGTCTGTGTGTGTGTGTGTGTGTGTGTGTGTGTGTGTGTGTGTGTGTGTGTGTGTGACTGCAAACAGGATTAGCTGCCTTCTCCAATGAGATGATCACTTTGGTCTCAGCAAGTAGCAGCCAAGGCTCAGAACTCTCTCTCTCTCTCTCTCTCTCTCTCTCTCTCTCTCTCTCTCTCTCTCTCTCTCTCTCTCTCTCTCGTGTGTGTGTGTGTGTGTGTGTGTGTGTGTGTGTGTGTGTGTGTGTGTGTGCGCACAGAGGGCAACCTCCTGCAGGGTTTCTTTCAGTTGGGGATTTCTAGTTGCCCTTGGCAGGATTTCCTTCTGGCTGCTGGCACGAAGGAAGAGAAGGCTGGAGGGAAAATGAGAGGACACAGGTATAGCCTCTGAGTCCTGCCCCAGAACTCCCCTCGTAGGGGACAAAGTCACTCTCGGGAAGCCAACTTTCACTGCCATTTTCCTATCATTCTAAGAAACTTGTTCAAGTCTAGAGCCGGGGAGAAAGGCGGGGTAGAAACTGCTAATCAAAGAGCATGGTGTTGGGAGATGCTCAGAGGAGAACTAGCCCAGAGCCCCCTGCAGATGGGGAGACTGGAGTGACCGACAGGAGCTGAAGGTCTCGCCCAGTTCTGGCTCCTTGGTCCCCAGTTAGAATAAATAGAGCTTCCTGGTGGGAGACCCTCAAGTCTAGAAGGTATTTGTGTGTGGTGGTGGTGGGGTTCACCTAGCCCTGCTCCCCTCCCAAGAACTCAGCCCCTATAAGCTCAGGGAGTTAGCTGTCCAGGGTAGGGAAGAGGGTGGTGGAGACAGGACCATGACAGTCTCAGGGACCAATCCTTGCCTCTGCTTAACTCGAAGAGACAATGATGGCAGATGAGAGGTTCAGCTTAATTCACTTCAAGTCAACAACCATTTACTGAGCGTCTGCTCTCTGCCGGGCACTCTGCTGGGTGCCAGGGGCGCATCTAAAGCCATAACAGAGTCAGGGACCGCCGGCCAGATCTGCACTGTAGGACCAAGATTCACTTTTTGGTGCATCCACTTCCACCTCTGCAGCCGCTGCTTCCACAAGAGAGTCAGGGGAGAAGGAAGAGGCTCTTGAGTCTGGGGCTCGGGAAAGTAAGAGTGCAAGGGAAGAGGTAGGGACCACTGGGAGGGGTCAAGTAGGTTGAGCATGGAGTAGGGGATGGGTAGCCAGCCAGAGAACTCTCGGCAAGGTGAATCTAACCCTTCTGGAAGTTCTGAACTCTTTGGCTCAGTACCTAACTGCCAATCAACACACTGCCAATGGGAGCGGGCTAAGCCACCAGGATGCCTGGAGCAGGTGGACACTGCCTATCCTTCAAGCCGGTCTCCTAGGAGTGGAGAGATGAGTGGTGGGCGCCTCGAACCAGTGGAAACCAAAGGCGGCGATCCATACTTCTGCGGCCTGGAGTAGTTAGTTCTCGACATCTTGCACGCACCCTCTTCTCTCAGGGTGCACGGACATGGGACTTGGCTCACACTAGGTCTCGTAGCATTTGGGTGGGTTACTCGTGAGACTCCCCAAGGGTCTAAGAAGGTCTAAGAAGGTCTGTCTCTTTAAGAAGCTGGAGTCTCTTGGGGGTCTTTTTCTTTTCTGCCCTGACAGAGTGGGGTCCAGGAAAGCAATGCCCATCTCTGGACCCCACAGGCTGGGTCAGGGGCCATTTCTGCCCCAGGTGCTTGCCCTCATGCTCACTTTCTTCTGGAGCTGCTCCGGACCCTCCTCCATGACCTCTGGGCTGTGAGGTTAGGAACCAAACCAGGCTCCTGTGAGGTGAGGTGGGAAACTGTGAGATGTTTCTACAGGAGCCATTGCTCAGCCTTGCTTCCTGGCTTATGCCAGCAAACTGCTCTCTTGCTGCAGTGTGGGCTTTGGGCCCCACTTATGGCTGCATGCTCTTCCCATCACTGTGCTCCCAACCACTCCTGCCCTCCCAGAACCCCCCCCCCCCCCCCACCACCACCACATATCCCATCTGCCTCTTCTTCCTAATAAAGGGCCACTGCAAAGAAAGATGGGCTGGCTAACCCATGGGATTTAGTTTATGAGAACAAAGCACAATTTTTCAGGACTGGAAATGCCTTGAGGTGCCTTGGAACTGGCTTTGGAAATAGCTCTCTGCCCTTCCGGCAATGAACTCGTCAGTTATTTCCAGTTCATAAAAAAGCTGATTGGGTCCATGTTTGCCTGGGAATCTCCTTGGGAAAGTTGGGCTACTAAATATTTACAGGATCAGGTTAAGGCGGCAGACAGGTGGAACTACTGGCCAGGTCCAAAGAAGTTAGTCCCAGGTCATAGGAATGGCTTGGTGCAGTTAGAACGGGTTTCTTCCTTCATATGTCTTAAGGATAGACGGCCTTGCTGTGCCTCTTGCTAATGTCTTCCTTTACCGAAGCTTGCTGATGCGATTGTACATAGCCTTTCTATAGAGGTATAGATATATTATATATGCATATATAAAACATCTCACTATGCCCACCCTAAAAGTTACATTGTTGGGGGAGGATATAATCATGTCTCAGTGTTTCCGGGTAGATTCACCAAAGGTTCATTATGGAACTTTCTTTATGCTTTTTTGGGAGAACCCACCTGCATACCAAGCATTTATGCATGTCTAGGTTCTCCCTGCTGTTTGGAGGTTGGAAGGGGTGGTTGGGAGGGGAGAGAAGCTTTACACAAATGGTCTTCTGAGACCTGACTGCTGGGAGCAGGCTGGGTTTCTTAGCAGTTTGTCTGGTTGCTTGGATCTGCTGGCTGCAATAAACACACTGTCTCCCCTGAACATCTCTCGAGTATGGTGTGTTTTTCTTTTTCTGGGGTACAGACTGGGGTAGGGAGAGGCTTTGCTTGGAGCCTGATGGGAAGCCCTGGTGCTCCTTCACCAGGACACCATGCATCCTGCTGGATCTGAGGGCCTCAAAGTGCTCACCTTGCAAGGAAAAAAATGAAGCCTACCTGCCTCGCCCTTATTTTTCATCTGTTTGCCCTTCCGGACCCTGGAGGACTCTGTCCTCCACAGTAAGCACTCTTGGACAGGGGACTGAGCACCCAGTTCTGCGAAAGACTTTCAGTTACTTCTGGGGTGTGGACAATCCTCCAGCACCCAAGGCTGGCTGCTCTGGAGATACCACCTATTCTTCCCATAGACAGATGGGCCATCCTTCCTGCTCCCGGCTTCTTAACAGCGTCTAACTGGGTAGACAGCGTAGACAGCGCTCTTGCCTGCTCTGGAATCCAGAAAGAGAGGAGGGCAGCTGGTCAGGGTGCCTCAGGGCAGCTTCAGTGGGCAGGGTGGCTGCTGGGAAGTCAGGAAGCCTCTGTGTGTATTTGTATCACGGTATCCTATTTACATAGTGCTGAATCAGCCTTAAGACATCCAAGGACCAGAGAGGTTGCTCAGGGGCTAAAGGTGTTTTGCTGCAAAGCCCAACACCTGAATTCCATCCCTGGGACTCACATGATAGAAGGAGAGAACCAGCTCCTGCACACACACACACACACACACACACACACACACACACACACAATGTGTAAACAAGGTTCAAGACAAAGGTCATCCTTCTGTCAAGGGGCTTAAACTTGCTGAATGTCAAGGAACATCTGTAAGTAATAGGTCATTTTTCTCTAACATTTCTGTCTATTCTCTGGCGATCTGGAGACCACCCTTGATGGTTAGTGGTCAGGAATGTTCTAGAAGGATCTCAGGACTAGTAACCCTAATGCTTGTGATGACCACAAATGTGACCCGAGTGAGACCCCAGGAAGGAGGCAGTGGCGTCAAGCGAAGATGGCTAGTGTGGCTGGCATTAGCAGAGCCAGAGGACCTTGGTTTAGGAGGGTGTCTATTCCCTGGAGCCCCTGAGTCCTTCTGATGGGCAGATGTCAAAGAGGGTGTCTTTGTACTAAACAGAAAGAGAAAGTGAGGCAAGAGACTGAGTGTAAGAGGCACTAGGGAGTCTGTCTGGTTCCTTCAGGGTGGACATAGGCGGCTGATGCTCAGTCATGTCACCATCTCTCTCTCTCTCTCTCTCTCTCTCTCTCTCTCTCTCTCTCTCTCTCTCTCTCTCTCCTAATAACATTTGGAATGTTCGGGCTGGGCCTGACTTCCAGGAGGTGGGGATTCAGGCATTTATTCTAGTTTGATGTCTTTGACTTGCTTGAGCTTGGGTGGGATAGTTTTGATTGCAGTTCAAGTTGCCTTGGGGAAAAGACTTCCCATCATCCTACCTCCTACTCTGACTGGTCAGATCACTGGTTTCCTGAGTTCCTCAGTCAGCTGAGTGGGCCAAGACAAGCTATTCCTTCACTATCCTGATGGGAAGCCACTTGTGGGGTAGGAATCACAGGGATGGAGCAAGCAAGTAGATATTCACAAACTCAGAGATAGGAGGCCCTGCAGAAGTCACAGCCAAGTCCCCTCCATGTCCTAAATGGGAAACTGAGGACCAGAGTTTGCTTAAGGTTTCATGTTGAACCAAGAACAGAGAGGGTCTTCATGGGTTCGAAAACTGCCATTTTTCCCTTCCTACCTCCCTGCTCCAGTGCTGGGTCTAGCCCAGCTCAGCACAGCAGCCCATGACAGCCCATCTCCTGCCCTGTCCTTTTCTAGTGTCTTCTGTCCGTATAGAAGAGGTTCATGCTTCCTAAAGGCTCAATTTTCCTTCTTTCTTTTCTTTTCTTCCCCCCCCCCCCAGGACAGGGTTTCTCTGTGTAGTTTTGGCGCCTGTCTTGGATCTCACTCTGTAGACCAGGCTGGCCTCGAACTCACAGAGATCCGCCTGCCTCTGCCTCCCGAGTGCTGGGATTAAAGGCAGGTGCACTACCACCTCCCTGAAAGGCTCAACTTTCAAAGTTGAAGTTCAGAGAAGGGAAGTCACGGGGTTGGCTGGTAGCAGAGGCAGGAAGAGAGCCCAGGTCTTCCTTCCCCGAGCTGACCTGATATCCACGGACAAGAAGACCACTTTTCTTTAGTTCGACTTCTGAGTCCCATTTGTACGCTCACTACTAGCCTGGCCTGCCTAGCGCTGGTTTGTATGCCCGCTCTTTTTAGGTCATGGGTCTCCCACCCATCTTGTAGAGGAAGGGTAGCATCCATACACTTAGGTGAGAGGAGAGTAGGTCAGGGCTCGGTGGGGAGCACACTGGACACCTAGCTGTGTAAGAGCTGGACACCTTCACCATTGTCACCTCCGGGACTCAGAAGGTCCCTGCTGCCGGGACCTCCACAGGAACTCTCCCAGAGAGCCCTGGTGGCTTTCTTCCTTCCCACAGAGTCTCATCCTCAATCACCCCAGGTTCCACTCGTTTCTTACAGCCAAGGCGCCAGCTACTTCTCAAGAGAGGCTCCAGCCAGTAGGGGAGAGTTCCAGGGACCCAGAAGCAGGGTGTCCAGCTGGGACCCATATCTTGAATTCCAACATGGCATGCAGAGGAGTCAGCCAAGGACCCCATTCTCCCACAGGACAGAAGAGACCCCAGACTAAGATGGGGAAGAAAAGCTGGGGAGGGGTAGAGGAGGGAGAACAGAGGAGACGAGAGTAGATAAATAGGAAGCAGGGAGTAGGTGAACTGGTGATGTAGATTTTCCTTTTCTCTGGCAATAATGACCTTGAAAGTCCAGGAGGTGCTATGGGGAAGGGAACCGAACAGACCCTGGACACTAAGCTTGACTACTTGAGATTCTATGGACAGGGACAAAGCCACCTTTATCCCAACCCCAACTGACCCTGCTTCTTAGGAGGATCTTTAAGCTGTTTATCTCAACAGACTGAGCAGTTCCCCCACCTCTACATGGGCACAAGGGCAGAGGCAGAGGGTACACTTAGCCAGGAAGGGAAGTGCGCACCCCAGCTCTTGGTAAACTTGGTGGGGCAGGCTGTGGTCCCATGGATCAGATGGCTCTCATTCCACCCAAGACGAAACCCTAGGACTGGCTGGCGGAGGTGGTGGCTATTGATCCAGTGGAGGTCAGCCGTGCAGGCGATGAGTTTCCTGAGGTAATGAGATCTCCATTCCGGAAGGTATTCAAGCAGAGCTTGGAGGTGTTGTCAAGAAGGTTCAAGTATCGGATCATACCTTTAGATTATACCTTTAGCCTTTAGTCTTAAAGGCTACTGACAACAGCCCTCATTCTAGGACTCACACGGTAGAAGCAGGATTAGCCCTTGCTTGCCTGGAGATAAATAAGACTAATATCCCTCCCTTCATCGCTCTATTGAGCCACGGTCTTCCCTGGGCCTTCTTTACACCTCACTTTTCACATTTACTTGTTCATTGTGCCTTTGCACGTGGAAGTGAGAGGACAATTTACTCCCACCGCATTGTCCTGGGGGTTGAACTCAGACCATCAGGTTTAGCCACAGGCACCCACAGAGCCATCTCACCAGCCCTACTTATACCCCCTTTCTGGCATCTGCTTTACATGATTTAGAGGTGGTGGGGGTGGGAGTGTTGGCAAAGCCCCAGATAGATGGAGAAAATAGCCTGGAAGACGGTGAGAAACATGAAGCCAGGTGCCCTGTGGAGTGTCTTTCCAAAGATCCAGCCAAATCTAACTTGCTTTCTTTGGCCTGCCTGCCAGGGCTCTGGATTCCCCTGTCTTTACAGATAAGACCATATACATTAAAGATGAAAGTCCTCGCCCCTCCCCTGGGGGGCCTTTCCTTCCTTATTACCACTCCAGCTCTGCCAGTCTGCCTCATCCCTGCTGCTGACACTCTCCACTGCAGCTGGCCCTGTGGGCAGGTCAAGGTATAGCTTTCATGTCCTACCAGAAGGGGCTTGACTGACCCTGGGCTAGACCTGTAGGAACGGCCACTCTCTATGGAGGAGCTGCTGTGTCTGGCACTGAGCGAGGCGCTCTGTGTCAGTCTAGCTAAGCGTAAAGACCCTCCGCAAATGCTCATTCCTTTCTTAGGTCCACAGACGAGGGAACAAAGTTCTGCTGTAGTAGGCACATGTACGAACAAGGTGATCAAGTGCAGAGTTAGTTGATTTAAAGGCCAGGGCCGTGTGAAGGCAAACGCTCCACTTTATATCATAGGAACACTGGAGTGACTTTCCACAGTCCAGACACGTAGGGACAGGTGGAGGAAGGGCGAGTTGAGCCAACTCCAAAATGATCATGGGTGACGCAGGGGTCAAAAGGAGCCCAGGCAAAGCTTTCCCAGAGGCCTCTGATGTCTCACTGGGATCTGGTGCTCTGACTCCCCGGCTCTGTGTGAACAGTGGCGGCCTCTGCTGGCCACCTTTTCACCTCTAGGACTGCCGCAAGCCTGTGAGCCTCCTCACCGTCCTGGCGGAACTCTCTCAGTCCCTCACCGCTTCTCCTCAGCCTGTCTCACTCTAACTTCCCGAAGCTGCCCGTGAACAGCTTCTCGTGAGCCTCCTTACCCTTCTGATTGGAGCTCTCCTAATCCCTACTCCTCTCTAACTTCCTGGAGCTACCTTCCACCTAGGGAAGATGTCCCCCACTCCCACCTTTCCTTTCCACGTCCCTTCTCCCCTTTCCCTGCTCTCTGCCTGTCCCCTCTCCTCTCCCCTGGCATACCAACTCTCCTAGCGGCACCCTTCCCCCATTAAATGTTCATGGAGAGAACAGGATGAGGATCTTTAGGGAGTCCTGCCCGGCACTCTACGGTTTTGTACTTTTGTATCTGGTGCCCATTTGAGGGGCAGGACAGGGTCCTGGTTTCAGGGGCACATGTGGCCACTTAGCTAATATGATAGCCTCCAATGGACAGCAGCTGCAATGTATAACAAACCTTCCCCAAACCTCCAGATCACACACCTCTTGAGCCCCCATCCGCCCCTGATGAGAGGGCAGGGTACTTGGTGACCCAGGAAACAGAGTTAAACACAGCTCTGGGGTGTGGGTTAGGGTGACTAAGATTCTGTCCAGGGGCTTCAGTTCCCACCCCAGTGTGGGTCCCAAGAAAGAGATGCCCAGGACTCACCCATTTCTGAGCTGCTTCTAGAAGTGGGCACACACCCCTCTCCAGCTTGGGACTGTCCGGCCAGCAGAGACATGCCCGGGATGGTTCGGCTCCCTCCTCCCTCTGCCCTCCTCCTTCCAATGAGCTCATCTGTCTGGGGCTTCCCATCCCCCTTTGCCTGAAAGGATGTTTGGACAGAACCTGGCAGAAAGCAAGGAAAGAAGAGAGGGAGGGGGTGACTGCTTACCTGCCTATGCCCTGAGCCCCTAGGAAGTGGAGGCGGGAGAGAGAGAGGAAGAACTCTCCTCAAGAGGGGAGCTTGGAGAGAGTTTAGCTTTCGACCAACTCACTGATGCCCTGGGAGCCCTGAACTGAGGTGGCCATGCGGCATCCTTTGCTGGACCGTTCAGCCACGTGCCTGCAGGCTGGTTTGGTGCATGCTGTCTTGTTAACTCTCTCAGCACCTGCCAAACTTCCGTGGAGGCTGAGAGAGTGGCTGATGAGGCAGCCACTCAGAGCCAGGGGAGGGGTGAGTGGGGAGGGGCTGAGAGTAGCCTCGGATACTCTAGAAAGAGGCTCCAGAGCACCAGCCCAAGCCCCCACCCAAGGGGCAGAAGAACTTGTGGGCTTTTAACTTGAATGCAGAATCTGGTGCTTGTAGTTGCGCTGAGATGGGGGTCCTGTTTCCAAAGTGGAGGGGAGCCCAGGGCAGGCAAGATGCAGAGGCAGCTCTTGGTCGGGATCCAAGGCCTGAAGGGAGCCATAAGGTGAGGGTGTAGGGCCAGCTCCCTGCAGAACCCACAGTCAGTGGGACCGTGCTTGAGTGCCTGCAGTTACCTGCAGTCCTGAGAAGAGTGTGCAAAGGCTTCTGGGGGAGCAGGCAGTAGACAAGGGCAACAGGGGAGTCCAAGAGGGAGCAGATTCCCTGCCAGGCGGCTGCAGTTTAGGAAGAATACCTCTCAAGAGCTCTGGAGTCCTCAAGCTATGCCTGGTCCCTTCCCTCTCGCACAGGGTCCTGCCCACTTGCTGGGCACTGACAGGGAAGGGGGTCACCTGTAAAAGGTGATGCTGTTGAACAAGTGAGCATCTTCCGGTGTCAGGACCACTCCGAGGCCTCCTTTACTGTGATCCTGCCTCCCTCTTTCAGTGGCTCCTCTAGATGCCCAACAGTTCCAGAAATAGGGCCCCCCTCTCCTCCCTAACTCTACCCTAGCACCCCAGGAGGCTTAGGGGAGTGGGCTTTCCGCTGAGTCAGTTGTCTGGTCTGATAGGATTTGGGGGGCTAGCCTACCTGAATTCCCAAGAACGCATCTCCTTCCACTTAAGCCCAGGCTGTCTCTGCCAGCTTGAGAAATGGATGATTCTCTGACAGCTATTGGGCTCTGGCCCAATCCATCTCAATGTCCCTGCAAACTTCAAGGGATTTCTGAGCCAAGTCACCCAGACCTGGGTGTGTCACCCACTCCCAGGAATCAGGATGGTCAGGGGCACCACTGGGCCTGTGGCTCCAGGGATCTACCTTCCTGAAAGGAGCTGTACATTTTTGTTCGCTCTCCTATGACTAGAGGCTTCTGACAGGAAAGAGGAGTGGATCCGGTGGGCCTCCTTGAGAGTTTTTCAAGGGTGGGGAGAAGGAATGGAGCCTTCCGGCACCCTGTCCCTTGACCTCCTCAGGAGGGATCTCTTAGCTCTATTACTGCACAGGCCTTCTGAGGTTTCTGAGGGAGGTGCTCTACAAATGTGAGGCCCTCCCCACCCCCTACAGCTTAGTGTTTCCCCAGTCTTTGTTCTGCCCAGCTGGGGGCCCTGCTAGCGTTCAGAGAACAGGCAGGTGTGTGAAGTGTAGCGAGCAAATAGCAGGGAGGCACCAATCCTGGGTTAACCTGTGGTTTTGTGGGTGACCTTGGCCCATACGTACTCCCCCTCTGTCTCACATCTTCCTCTGTGGCGGGTGAGGGCCCTCCCAGCTAAGGAATCCAGGGAACAGCAAGGGATCAGGGGATGTGGGGAAGGGCACCCAGGGGAGCTAGTCACCTTCCTCTGCCACCAGGGTCTAAAGATATCTCTGGAGTCCTGTCCCCCTCCTTCCCTGTTTTCCGGGGAGGGGTCACTTTCTTTCCCTTTGGTTCACCTCCTCTCACCTCAGCCTACTGCTCTGAGAAACATGACCCTGTTGTAAAAATAACATGGGCAGCGTGGACGCCTGGCCTTGTCTATACAGCGGAAGGACCTCCTGGGGTAAGCAAAGGTCAAGCCTGTCCTGGACACGGCTTTGCCTCTGGGGCCCCAGGCTTCTGTGTTGTGTGTCCACCCTGTGTGCCTAGCTCTCTGCTAAGCATGTTAACGTGTGTTTTATTTCTCTGGGTCTTCACATCCGGCTCCACTTCTAATGTTGGCAAGGCCTGTGGCAAGATGCAAGTGCAAAAGGCTCAGGAGTCCAAATGCAGGTTATAAATCAGGATAATCAGCCAGGCCTGGTGGCGCACACCTTTAATCCCAGCACTCAGGAGGCAGAGGCAGGCGGATCTCTGAATTTGGAGGCCAGCCTGGTCTACACCGCTGGTCTACAGGGCTACATAGAGAAATCCTATCTCAAAACAAACAAACAAATAAACAAACAACAAACAAAATCAAAACAGCAAGAAACAAAAGTCACAACAACGAATCAGGTCAGTAAGTTTATCTCCTGTCCTCTGCCTTTGGCTGCTTTTCCTTGGTGATCTAGAAGATCGTGTCCAAAATGGGATTCTTCAGACTATGCCCTGGTCCTCTTGCTTCTGTGGCTGGTCCTGGAGCAACAGGGACTCTAGTACACACACACAGGAACCACCCACCTGCTCATCAAGCTTATCCACACAGCTGCCCGTAGGCCACTTCTTGGGTCTGTGGACACACTTCTCACTTCAGAGGACAGACTAGGAAAAGAACCCAACTCAGACCCCCTGAAGAGGCAATTCCAGACCCCTGGCCCCCCAGAACCGTTTAGAACTGAGAGGAGGTACATTCCCTATTGTGATTCCCTGGACTCAGAGGCCAGCATCAGGAGGTCCTCTAAAACTAGGAGCCTAGGGCTGTTCTCCCTGTTGCCCAGGGTTGAGGATAATGCTGTTATTCATGATCTCAGGAGGTAGATACCATAGGTTCACCATCGGCAGACAAGCAGAGACTTCTCCAGAAAGTTGTGTGCCTTGTTTGGAGTTCTCCAGGAGCAAATGCAGGCGTCGGGGTTGTTCAGCTACCTTGACAACAAGACGAGGCAGAAGGAAACAGCAGGGTTCTCCCCGCAGACATTTAACATTCTGCATACAACCTCAAGGGTCTCATGGCGCTCAAGCCTACTAGGGACTCCAGTCTTGAAGATGGGTGGCGGGTGTGCCTGCAGCAGGGAAGGAGGATGTGTTCCTAAGGTTTAACTGGTCTCCAGATAGCGAAGATTTGTCCTGGAGGTTTGGGTAGTTGACTAGGAGCCTTGAGGAGGGCATCCCGGGTGTTTTGATTACCGACCCCACCCCCACCCCCACCCCCACCCCGCCCAGCATTGGGGGGAAAAGCTCGCTGTCTCCAAATGTCTGTCACTAGCCCTCTAACAGGCATAGAGTCTGCAGAAATGGGTTGGTGGGCGGAGTGCAGGGGCAATTTGCAGGTGAAAGTTGGTTTCCCACGGCCTCAAAGCCACCCGCAGAGCGAATAAGCTGCGTGGCCGGAGGTGAACGCGTGCGGGTCCAGGTCTGCACCGGGTTGTCCGCAGCGGGCAAGCCGGCACACGCCCACCAGCTGCGGCAGCGCCCGCTGCGGACGTCCTCCCCGCGGTCCCGGGAGAGGCAGCCGCTGCCCTTACTCGTGTGTTCTCCGAGCGGAACAAAACAGCCTTCCAACAAACCTAAAAGCTCCACCTCTACTCCCCCGTGAACTCTTCTCCTAATTGGCAGCTCGGCGCATGGGATGATGCGGGCGGCTGCGGGCCGGCCCTGCAGTGCCAAGCCGCAACATCCCCGTCCGGTTGGAGAAGGAGAGGGCTGCTCAGGCTGCACCCCACGATCCTGATCGCGGCGCTCCGGTCACCGTGAGAAACCGGCGGGGACGCCGCCCCTCCTGCGGCTGGAGCGCTTCCAGAGCAGAGGCGCATCGCAGTGCCGCTCGCCCCGGCGTCCTCCCTCCAGCTCCGGCTCCTCCTCCTCCCCCCAAGCCCCGGCGCCCGCAGCGGGCTCCAAGAGGCGAGCGGGCGCGCCTCCCCCTCTTCGTCCTCCCCCTCGTCTCGCTCTCTCGCGGCTAACTTTCCTGAGCCCCGACCCGCGGCGCGGAGCTCCCCCCGGCAGCTGCGGGGCCCAGAGCCGACCTCGGGGCGGAGAGCGTGGGGGGTGCCCACTATCTCATCCCAAGCCCTCGGAGTGCTCCGGAGAGAACAGGACCATGTCCCGGGCTGGGGACCGAGGCAAAACCCTGGCGAGATGGCTGGGCACTGGGCTTTTGGGTAAGGCAGCCCCAGCTTTGTCTTTTCTCTCGCCTCTTTCTTACCCCCACCCAACCCTGAAGGAGGGGACACTGGAGAAGAGGGGTGCCTTAGACAAGGTGGCACCCAATGAGTGGATGGCCGGCTTTCTGCTGGACGCTTAGCTTTGAGACTATGCTCCCTGGGAACCCTGTGCAACCCCCCCTCCCCCACAGCCACCCTGGCAGAGTTTCTTGCTGCCTCTGGTGCCATTTGGAGCTAGGTCTTGGGGCTGCAGCAGGGGAATCCTAAGTCCCAGAGTTCAGGCATGCTGGTGGAGGGGTCTGCTGCCTTGAGTGTGGGGGGTCCCAGGAGGGTTGCAGGTGTAGTGGTGTCTGCCACCCTTGCCTGGAGCTATTGGCTTGCTTCCCTGGCAGCAGGGATGCACCCGTGGGGCACAAGGGTCTCCCTACCACCCTTTGCTAGGTTCTTCTGTTTTCTGTTTTCTCTGGTGTCACTGCAACTCGGTGCCAAATGCTGGAAGGGCTTGGATGGACCTAGAGGACCGTTCAAAAGCCACCTTTTAAGGAGGGTCTTGTCCCTCTTCCTGTAAAGGGGTTCTCTGTGGAAGACCTGTTTGGCCTGCTCCTAACTCTTTATTTTGGGGAAGACCGTGAAGAGAGAGGAGTCAGGTCCAGAGGACGCAGAGGGTAGAGAATATTGTGGCTATCTATTAATATTCACATGATGGTTTTGAGTGTCAAACTCCAAGAGATTAGGCAATGGTATTTATTAGTCCGGAATGTAAATCACAGCCTGGCTTCCAATGCGAGCAGGCTTCATCTCTGGCCCCTGCACCTCTTCCTGTTTATTATGTCAGATTTGGGTTTTGACAGATACCTATACCCCTCCCCCGCATTGGGTCAGGCACATGGTAGAGGTATTTGTGCTGGAAGCAGGGGACAGAGGCCTCTGAGAGAAGCCACCATGCACCTGTAAATCATGTACAGACCTATCCTGTGGATACATGTCAGGTGTTGGTGTGGTGGCGGGGGGCAGCATTCTTTTTTACTGAGCTCTGGTTTACTCACCTCCGAGGCCAGATGTAAGACATTGGTGCTTTGTCCCGTACCATTGGCACAGATGTTTTCTGAGTTTCATGGTGACTCTCCAAAACTCAAGGCTCCTCTTTGTGGGATGGGTATAGTGTCATTCTGTTGGAGTTCCTACTTGGATCATCCCAGGACTCCCCTGTGGCCATGGCAGGGGTGAGGGGTCTCTGAGGCAGCAGAACTCCACTTACTAAACCAGACACTGTATGTTATGGAAGTCCTTTCCCTATGTTTGGTTGTCAAGGGAGTATCAGGCCTTGCACTAACAGAACAGTCATAGATTCTGGCCTCTGCAGACAATAAGAGGGCTCTAGGAACTGGGGGTAGGGTGGGGTGGGGTGAGTGGAGAGCAGGGCAGAGCTTTGGTATGAGTGGGCAAGGACTTTGAAAACCATAGCTTTCCAAAAAGTGAGGAAGGTGTGGCCTGGAGAGGGATGGAAACCTGCCTAAGGGTACGTGGCCAATTGATGGTCAAGTGGGACAGAGTCCAGGCCATCTGGTGAGAGGGAAGGTCAGTGGGGCCTGTGTTTAGAGCCTGAGGGTGAGTGAAGCCCTGGGTCATGGCATGGAAGCCATGGCACGGGCTTGAGTCGCGGTCAGGTCTTTGTTTTCACAGGTGGGGAGACTTTCAGGAGTTCCCCCTCCTCCCAGATCAGTTCAGTTTCTCGGACTGAGACCCCAGTGGATTTTGATAACACAAACGAGACAGTCTTTTCTGAACCCCAGAAGTGGCCCACGAGGCCACACCACTGCAACTGAGGTTTAGATGGGTTCCAGGCCTTTCCTAAGTATGTAACTGGTAGTGTGTAGTTCTGCCCACCCCTTGCTTGCTCCCTGATTTGCTTAATTGCCATGATCTGTGTTTAATTATCACTTGTGAGGGTGCTGTGTCGCACAACCCTCTCTCCCCTGGTATGTATTTATTAAGGGCTTGTTTAATGAGTGCACAATTAAAGAGAGGGTGTTGAGTCCCCTTCAGAGGAAGAAACCAACAAGGCTCAACTGGGAGAGCCTGGAGAAGAGGGAAAGAGGGCCGGGGGTAGTCTGCATCTGGAAAAGACGATTAACCCTCAGAATCTGCAGAAGGCAGGCTTTGGGGAACAGATAACCCTCTGACTGGCTACCTCCTGGAGGAGTCACCTTGCCCTGTGGCTGCTTCTTGAGGGGATGTAGGTACATCCCCATAAGCTATGGATGCGGTGGGCCAACATCACTGCCCAGTGGCCTCTAAGAAAAAGAACAGATCCACTGTTTGCACTTGTTTGTAAAGCTGGTTTCCCTGATCCAGTTCTGTCTCAGGGGCATACGTCTATACCCACAAAGCTCCTGGGGGTGGGCAGGAAGCAGGCAGGCAGGTTGCCTAGGGTGAGGGAGCAGAAATCTTTCCTTTGCTATAGGACCCAGGAGCCTTGCCTGGCCCAGCCCTGCTTCCCCGGCCCCTGAGGCCTCTCTCCTAGGAGGGGGCCTTGTCTCACTGCCCTTAGCCGGCCCACTTTCTGCCTTTAAGCTCTAACTCTGAGCTGTTCTTCCTTCCTGGGGCCAGGGAGGCTCAGCTGAGCTTTTGCTCGTCCTGCCCCGCAAGTCCTTGGAGCTAAACTTAGAGCAGGCACCATCCTGCCCTCCTTCTGCCCCCTACCCACCCTGCCTGGGTGTGACTGATCTCTGGATATGGGAAAAGATGATGGAGTGTTGCCAGCCTGGCATCCCCCTTACAGTGGGTGCCAACAGCCATCAGCGTCCTGCTGGTGTGACTATTTAATAGTATTCCATGTGCGGAATACTTTTTGTAGGTGTGCATGAACCTGTGTGTGCAGGTATGTGTGTGGAGGCCAGAAGTTAACACCGGTTGTCACTCCTGAGGTGAGACAGGGTCTGTCATTTGACCTGGAGCTTCTGGATGAGGTGCAAGGCTGGCTGGCCAGTGGGCCTAAGACCGGCACCTGGCTCTACCTTCTCAGTTCTGGAATTACAAACCCATGCCACCATAACCACATTTTCTAAAAACAAACAAACAAAAAAGCAAAACGAAACAAAAAAAAAAACCAAGGTTTCAGGGAATTGAACTCATGCCTGCTAGTATGCACTTTCCTTCCCGAGTCAGGTCCACAGCCCTAAATACTTTTCAAAAACTTTGGCACAACTTGTGAATTCTGAGTCTGTCTTTCTCCCTGGATGAAGTCCCAGCGGGGGTGGCAGGAGCTAGGGACTTCTGAACCTGGCTGCGAGAATGGCTGAGTGACTTAGGGAAGGCCAGGCTGTGAGATGGGGGTGGGAATCCACAGGACTCTGACAGAGGAGACTTCATTGATCCCACAGTGCCAGAAAGAGGCCCAACTGGCAGACAGATCCACCCCCATGCTGGCATTCTCAAGAGGTAACTTTTGGGCAAAGCAAGAAAGTCCTTTACTTAGGGAAATAGCCACGTGGAAATTATCCAAGATGTGGTAGAGGGTGAAGAAATAAATCAATGTGTGAGTAGCCTGGAGACAATCTTGGCTGACGACAGTGGTCTTTAAGAGAAACTAATGGCGCCCTGGTTATATCCAGTGCTGGTTGGGGACAGCCGTGTCCCCCCTTAGCCCTTTTAAACAACAGCCTCTCCCCTAGATGCTCCCTTATTGAAGTCCTTCTTGTGTTTTACAGCCTCATGTTTTGGCTCCCCACCAAGCTTGGGAGGTAGGCAGGTTTACGGCTCTCCCTGCACTGCTCTGGGGATGCACATGCAGGATGCAGGATATGTGGTACCTCTGACTTTGTCAAGGTCAGCAGGCAGACTGGGGCCTGCCCGTGGGGCCTGCTGCCCAGTCCGTTCCAGCTTTGGCCAACCTGCTTAAGTAGCCCTCCAGGGGCCTGTTAGTGGATCCTGACCCATGCTCCTCCCCAAGCTTAGCCTCACAGGAGCTTGTGCACCAACCTCCTAGACAGCCAGCAGGACTTCCCAATGCCTGGCTGGGTGGGCTCAGTGTTGCAGAAGCAGCCAGGTTTGCCTGCTATCGCCCGGGTGTCCACCCGGGCAAGGATGCCTCTGGGGAGACCATCTCTACCGGTTTCTTTTGTCCCCTCCAGGCTATCGAGGGCATGGCAATGCTTCACTCAGAGTCCTGAAGGTATTAGATAGAGTTAAGTCATCCGCATCAGGCAGAAATGCGTACCGTGCGGTGAGCCAGAACTTAAAGAAATAGCGTTCTTCCTTCTGAACTTTTCGTTTGCTCTTTTCTGCTTCTATCTATTTAAGGTATCTTCTCAAACCAGGCGCAGGAGCACCTGCTTGTAATCCCAGCACCCCAGGAGATGGAGGTAGATGAGAAGTCCAAGGTCATCCTTGGTTATGGAGCAAGTTCTAGTCTGTCGTGTGTGAGGCTCTGTCTCAAAAACAAACAAATGATCATGCCCCTTCGCTGTGCTTCTGTGCTCTGCAATTGTTCATTTGAACTGGAGTTGGAGGGAGGAATTTGGTCCTTGAGATGAGTCCCCTGTCTTCATCGGGACTCTGATTCCCAGGTCCAGGTGTTAAGCTGGGAGCCAGAGCCTAGGAATTACCAGGAAGCCCCTTCCTCCCTCGCTCTTTCCCTCCCACCCTTCCTCCCTCCCACCCTCCCTCCCTCCCTCCCTCCTTTCTTCCTTCCTTTTTCACAATTTCTTCCCTCCTCCCCTTCCTTTTATTTTTTGAGACAGAGTCTTACGCAGCAGCAGAAGCTGGTCTCAAAACTGCAACAACCCTCCTGCTTCTGCTGAGTGCTGGGAATCCAGGTGTGAGCCAGCAGATCAGCATCTGGTTTAGGAAGCTTCTTTTTTTCTTTATTACTGTAAGGGTGTGTTTATATTTTCATGTGTGAATGTGGGCATGCAGCAGTGTGTACACGGAGGTCAGAGGACACCCTTGGTCCTTGCCTTCCACCTCATTTAAGATGGGATCTGTGGTTTTCTGGCTGCATATGCCAGGCTAGTGGGCTCACAACCTTCCAGAAATCCTGTCTCTATCACCCATCTCCCTGAGCCAGCACTGGGATGACTGATGCTTTATGGCACACACCGGCTTTTACATGGGTTCTGGGGATTTGAACTCAGGTCCTCATGTTGACATGCAATCGCTGTTACTGAGCCATCTCCCCAGCCCAGAAGCTGCCTTTGCTCAGGGCTTCCCTGTCTTCTGCTCTGCATCCTGGTTCCGTTTAGGGGGTTAGGGGAGGCATGGAACGGAGAGCTTCAGGCTCCCATCCTCCAGTGCTGGTTCTAGGCGGATACCTGTGACTGCTCCTGTTCCTAGACCTCAGGCGGGTGGGGGGAGTTGGGGTAGAGGACAGCAGAGATAAAACAAGAACCAAGAATTCCAGGGAGCACTGACCCCCATCAGATGGGGGAAAGCAGATCAGTTTCTGAGTGCTGCCTACTTGCTTCCTGGGTATGTGGCCTTTTGTATGTTTATTCCTTGGAGGCATTTATTGGGAATAAAAGGAATAACAGCTTCACAGGGTAAGGATGAAATGTGCATAGTTTATGAAATATACCCATCCTATCACACAGTAAGTACTAAGCTCCAAAGAGGTCATTCACTGTGTGGCTGCTGGGAAAATCACTTTACCTCTCTGAGCCTCAATTTTGTCGTCTGTAAGATGAGAAAAAGTGTACCTGCCATTTAGTATCCTATTAGAAGTGGGGGTGACTGTGTGGGAGCCCTCTAGCCTAGTCATTTTCAAATTGTGGTCTGCACCCACACTGTTCCCTGGGAGCTACAGAGAGAGGCCAGCTCTGAAGACTCATATAGCCGGTAGCTCCAGGGGCCGACCCACACCTGCCTATGCCTGTCCCCAGTTAATTCTAACGTCTCTCAGCATGCAAAATCATTGCAACAGTCTTGATGCATTGTACACACACACACACACACACACACACACACACACACACACACACACACACAGTTCCTGATTGAAGTCATCTAGCAAGAGCGGGAGCCGCAGTGGGCAAATGCACCTATTTTAGGATGTGTGGAGGGTTTTCCCGGCTTTGGGAGCGGGAGATGCTGGAGCCATTTTCCTCCTTGACCTTAATGGAATCGCCGACTTCTCTAGGCTTAGCTTCCCCTCCAGTGTGATCCATAATCCTAGACATGATGGGGTAGCAGAAGGCAGAAAGGCATCAGGCACACAGTGAATGCTGCATGAGTATCCGCTCTGCTGTCATTGCTGACCACGCATGGCAGGAGTCAGGATTGGGTTACTGGGCCATAGGGTGCCATTTCTGACTTGGTGTGTGTGTGTGTGTGTGTGTGTGTGTGTGTGTGTGTGTGTGTGTGTGTATGTATGGCAGGGAGGAGCAGTCAGAAGCAAAGGGGACGCAGGGAAGGTGAAGGGACCCTTGAGAGCAGGAGCAGGGCCCCCAGCACTCCTCTGAACTCCTTCTCTGTCATTCAGTAGCATGGTGGGCCAAAGGAGGAAAAGGACTTCCCACGCAGCATGAGGGACTTAAGTTAGAAAACAAAGTGCTTCCCTGAGAATTAAGATGGGAGTGAATGCTCATTTCCCCTGCCGGCAAGGAAAGGTAAGGGTTCAGTGGTGAATCGTCTTCCCTGAAACGACCTTGAGGCAGTGGAGCTTCCAGGAGGAATGTGCAGGAAGGAGGAGGATTAGACTCTTTAAGAGCTCTTAGGAGTGGGTGAAGGGGAGGGCCACTTCTCCTGGGGCAGAGGGATGCCTTGCGGTGGGGGTGTGGGGGGTAGAAGGATGTCCTGTGGAGGGAGTGGGGGGGGGGGAAGGGAGCGGGGCAGGCAGAGGGATATCCTATGGAAGGGGTGTGGAAGTTAGGGGGGTGTCCTGTGGAGGGGGTTGGGAGGCCGCGGGGATGTCACTGTGGTTCCTGGGGTGAGGGTGTGGAGAGTGACTGCGGTGACGGGGAGGAGCCGCGCTTCACAGCGGGGGGGGGGGGGTTGGGAGCGGACTGGCCACTCAGAGTCCCGTACCCTGCAGCACGCCCCCAATTGGTTCGAATGGGCTAGTCGGAGAGTTGCACTCTGCCTGCTCCATCCTGTGTCCTCATTCTAGCAGTCTGTGTCCTCCGCGGCCACGGTTTCATCACGGCGGGGCGGTCATCTTCCTTCTCTCTGCGGGATCCCCTTGCGTGGTCAGAGGCCCTGGATTCACTAGCCAGGCAAATGTCCATCCCTAAAGTGTCTCTCTGTCCCTAGCTCCAGTGCGGGGACTGCGGTGGTCGCGCCTTTCCACCTGACCACATTCTGGCCCCCACCCGCAACTCCCAAACGTCACCAGGGGTGCGCTCCTATCTAGGGAAGGCTCCCCCCACCCCCGCTTGCAGGTGAAAGGGAGTTCCCTGACTGTGCGTACTTGCCTTCCGACCCAGGTGAACGGATGAAGTCTCAGATCCCAGGACAAGGGGTGGGGGTGTGGGAGGGGAAAATCCATCAGATCCTCCTTTCCTTGGGTTGGGGTGACCCCTCGTGGTCATTCTGAGTACCACACGGGCCACTAAGAGGCTCAGAATTCAGTCCTATTCAGGCCAAGTGGGCATTGAAAAGTGTGGCCCATGCTGTGCAGATATTGTATAGAGAACCACCTTCCCTCCTGAGGATGCCAAAGACCTCTTTGCCTGGCAGAGCCACTCTGCCCTGCCTGAGAGTGCCCTTAAAGAGCTTCCCGTGGGGTTGTATTAAGGGAGGCTGTGTCCCTTGTACAGGTCTCTTCTTGCTCCCTATGTCCCTGCCGTTGGAGGTGTCTGTGGGAAAGGCTACCACCATCTACGCTATCAATGGCTCAGCGATCCTGCTGCCCTGCACCTTCTCCAGCTGTTTTGGCTTCGAGAATCTCTACTTCAGATGGTCGTACAATAACACCGAGACGTACAGGATTGTAAGTGGGATGCTCATGTCCTCCCCCGACTTGTCTATTTCTCACTGGTGAATGCCTTCAAGCCCTGGCTCTGGTCCCTTCTGAGATAAGCTCCACCATGAGGATCCCGAGAACCCACCCTTTGTCGCTCTTTCTCTTAGAGTCCAGGCAGGAAGATTGTTCCCATGGTGATGCCAGAATTTGGGGTCTGTTGGTAATTTTGGCTAGACTTTGTTGTCCTGTTTGGAGGAAAACTTGCAACTTGTATATTTGCAGAAGATTTAATAGTTTAGCAATCAGGAGGAAAGAGCAATGGCCAAGGGCTGTGCTTGGAAGGGCAGGAGAGGGAGCCAGAAAGGGTGAGCCGATCACAGATGTGGATGGAGTTCTTTGCAGCCTGGCAGGGGTTCTTCTTCCAGAGTAACTGGGGAAGTCCGCAAAGTGCAGCCTTAGAGGGTGCCGAGGGAGAGAGCCGTGGCATTAATCCAGGTCCTGGCTGACGGACAAAGGTTCAGTGGGGTAGAGGGTATAGTGTAAGTAAAGGCTGGGTGGGATATGCAGAGAGAAGTGAGTGCGCGCACGCACACACACACACACACACACACACACACACACACACACACACACACACACACACAGTATTTGCAGAGGCACTGTGGGGAGGAAAAAAGACTTTTATGAAAACAGCAGCCGGTGTGCTGTTTTCCAGGGAGTCCTTAAGGACACAGGTTTGAAAGAGGCAGAATTCAGGTCAGGCAGAGCTGTGGCCACTGGCGGAGAGAATGGAGGAAAATACTGCAGGGTCTTTCTGGGCACGGACAGGGTTGACGCTCAAGGGAGGGTGACATTTGACCACGCTGATCTTTTCCTGCCCCAGCTCATAGACGGCATTGTGAAGAATGAGAAGTCTGACCCAAAGGTGAAGGTGAAGGGTGATGACCGCATCACCCTGGAGGGCTCCACGAAGGAGAAGATGAACAACATCTCCATCCTGCTGAGTGACCTGGAGTTCAGTGACACGGGCAAATACACCTGCTTTGTGAGGAACCCCAAAGAGAAGGACCTCAACAACTCTGCCACCATATTCCTCCAAGTGGTTGATAAATGTATGGAGTGGGGCGGGGTAGAGGGTGGTAAGGTAGGAAGGACTGGGGGTGTCCATCTCAGTGTGGCATCGAAATGGCAAAATGGGCCATGCTGGTGATTTCTTTCTCTTCACACTTGCAAGAGTTACAGGAGTTACATATGGAAGCCAGAAAAAGTCATCTATGGAGTGGCTTGGGAATGGCACTGACTGTCTTTGAGCCCTGATGTCCTAGTCCATAAAATGGACATATGGCTGCCTTCTGCCAGGGTGACTGTGAAGGCCAGAGGAGCTAGTTGGGAGTGGTCAGCGGCATTAGGCTCTCTCCATGTAGGTGATTTTTGTTCCATTGTGGACTGCGTTAGCAAGGGTTGGGTGGCCGTCAGGTGTTGTAGTAAAGGATGCTGTGACTAGTACACAGTATTCTTTTTTTTTTTTTTTTTTGAGGAGTGTGTAGTTCAGACAAGCAGATGATAGCCCCAGATGGATAGCAGCGGTACAGATGCTTCCCAAAGAGATAGAATGAGGCGTGGTCCTTCCCCGGTGGAACTGGACACAGGCAGGCCAATGAAACAGCGAAGGGACTGAAGATAAGCAGCCAGGTAGCCACACGCCTCTACTCCATGGAGGTGGTCAGACAAGCTAAAGGGGATAAGTAGGTGAGAAGCTAGACTGGGCACCTTGCAGCTGAGGGTCCTGGAAGAGAATGCCTTCTGCATGCCCCCCACCTCGTGACCATGTCAGGGAGTCCCCGGAGATGGGCCAGCAGGAGTTGAATTTGGGCTATTCCAAGGGCGGAGCCTGAGGCCATCCAGCCAGTCTTTCCTGAGTCTGGGGTGACATCTGCAAAGGGGTGTCACCTCTTCTATATGTTTAGATCCCTGTCACTCTGCTCTGTGCTTGGCCTTGGCAGGAGGAGAAGGGAAGGGGACCAGCCGTGACAGAGTGTTTCTGGGTGCCAGGCTCTGAGTTAGACGGCTCATTTTGGCTCAGTGGCCCCTCCCAGGGGGCACCTGTCTATGTATAGGGTTTTTCAGCCATCCTTTTACACGGTGGAGGTGATTCGGGGTGCTGAGGGTCCAGTGTGACCAGGATGGGAGCTTTGCCCGCCCACCTCCCCACACCCCGTCCCCAGCTGAGGGAGCGATGCAATTAAATGAAGAGTGGTGTTGCGTAGATAAGAAGAGGGGAAGCCGGGGGGCTCACGGGGTGCCCAGGGAGGCTTGGCTGGGAACGGTGACAGAGAGGGGAATGTCTGAAGGCAGGGGGGGAGAAAGCAGAGATAGCTAAGAACAAGTCTGTGACTTAAAGCTGGGAGCTGTGGGTCGCATTCTGATTTATTCCCCAACTCGTGGTGTGTGAGTGTGTGTGTGTGTGTGTGTGTGTGTGTGTGTGTGTGTGTGTGTGTGTGAGTGTGTGGGGAGAGGTGCTGGGAAGGGTGAAGGGAACAGGCCCCGTGGTGTGCTTAGCCGGAAAGGCACCGTGTTCTGGCCTCTCCTGGCTTGGTTGACCTGAGAGGGTCATGGCCTGGAGGTAGGGCTGCCAGTTTCGGACTGTGTGTGGCGGCTTTACAGTTTCTCCCCTGCCTGCTCTGCCCCTCCTCCAGTGGAAGAAGTGGACAACACGGTGACGCTCATCATCCTGGCTGTGGTAGGTGGGGTCATTGGACTTCTGGTCTGCATCCTGCTGCTGAAGAAGCTCATCACCTTCATCCTCAAGAAGACCCGAGAGAAGAAGTGAGTGGACTCTCCGTCACTCCCACGCTCCATCAACCTGGCGTCCTGTCCCTCCACCTACCCCTGCCCCTGCCAGCCTGCGGTGCCAACTCTGTCTCTTCATTCTCCACCCGCTTCTGATGCCAGTGCTGTCCTCTGCTATCCCTACAGCCCTTGCCCCAATCCGGCTTGCTCCTGACCTCTCTCTATCTGCTCCTCCCTATCCAGTCCTCTTTTCTCTCCCTGTTCCGTCAGTCTCTCTTCCACCGCGTGGGCGTGCACGCACGCGCTAAAGCCTACCGTAGGATTTAGGAAGCCTGTTTATTTTCTGAGTTAGGCTTCCCGCTCTAGCTTTCTTTTCTTTTATCACAGAAAATGTGAGTTCATGTGTAGAGACTCTAGAATGGAAAGGCGCTTTTGGGGAGATGAAAAATTCTGAGAATTCAAACGGGAGAGGCAGAAACAGGGCCTGACAGCCGAGCAGAGTGCTGCATGCCTGCAATCCCGGTAGTTGAGAATCAGGCTTAGAAGGTTCTCCTTGAGTTCAAAGCCAGCCTGGCCTACACTGTGAGGCCTTGTTTCAAAAGCCAAAGCTTCAGCTAAACTACACTATAATCTGAAATGGTGACTTGGCCTCCCAGGAGGTCCTAGGGTAAGTTCAGTTATCAAAACAGACATCCAGGGTCAGGGATGTAGCTAAGTGGTGTAGTGCTTGCCTAGCGTGTGTGAGGTCTTGGGTTCAAGACCTCCGCTGGAAGGAGGAGAAAGATGGGCAGGTGTAGAGGGTATGAGCCCAGGCACAGAATTTTCTGGAACAGTGTCAGGCTAGCTTTAAAGCAGCAGGTGAGGGATCTTGCAAAGTCAGAGCGAGAAAAAGTCATTAGAAGGGAAGAGGCATTGGGAAGCTGTGTTCTCGGGAAGACAGGCGATGAGGTGGGCTACCCTGGAACAGAACAGAAAACAAGAGGCCAGGGAGGGGGCACAGGACTGGGTGCAGGGAGCCACGCCCCCACCCCTTCATCTCTTGTGCCTCTCACCAGCTTCTCTCTCCCTTCCCCCTCCCTCCCTCCCTCCCTCCTCCCTCCCTTTCCTCCTCTCCAGGAAGGAATGTCTCGTGAGTTCCTCTGGGAATGACAACACCGAGAATGGCCTACCCGGCTCCAAGGCAGAGGAGAAGCCACCCACAAAAGTGTGAGGTCCTGCGGGGCCAAGCAGCGCAGGGAACCTCACTTCCTGACGGCGACACTGATGCTGGAGTCCTGTGTGTAGAACCCACCAACCGCGACGTGTGCTGCTTGGCCCAAACTGTCGTCTTTCTGAGCAGGAAGGACCTGATCCTGTCCTGCCCAGCCTAGCTACCATTCCCTCCCCAGCCAGGGCTTCCCAGGGGCAAGGGCTGGCTGGGGAAGGAAGCCTACAGAGGTTGAAGAAAGGGAAAGGAAGGGCTGGAGCAGTGTGGGAGAGTTGGTCCCTGGCACCTGGGAAAATGGGGTCTCCTTTAGACTTCCCACCCCTGTGAACCCTCACGTTCCCCTCACATTTTCTTCTGATCCTTCACCGGGATATTGGGGTGATCAGAGGGCTGCTCCCAAAGCTGGGGTTCAGAGATGGGTAGAGGGTGGGCACTTGAGATGTTGGGGATGTGCTAGAACTCTGGGGTGGAGTCTGCTGGAGGTGGGGCCAGTTCTGAGATGCAAGCTGGGCTTTGAAGGCTATCAGGCTTCTGGAAGTTCCTTCCGAGGGAGCTTTCTCTTTCCCCCACCCTGGAATACCTGCCCACAGTGTCCCAGCTCCCTGTCCAGCTTCCTGCTCTGAATTTGTAGACTCCTCAGCTAGGACTGGACGCCCTGGCCTTCAAGTGTCCCAGTCTATCTAGCCTGTCTTTGCTCTCCGAGCTGCCGCTGCTGGGGAGGCTTGGCCGCGGGCCGGGGGGCGGGGGGGGGGGCGCCCTCCATCCTTCCTGGAACACTGGAGTGCTATAGGCATCTTTTCTGGCTTTGCTCTTTGAGTTTCAGGGGTGGGAGAATGGTGTCTCCAACCTCCCAGCCTTTGGAATGTCTATTCCAGCCCTCGTGACTGATAGCTCTTATCCTGGGCATGGCTGGACCATGCCACCCTGGCACTCCTGGATCTCAGTTCTTCCCACTTCTCCCCTTCTCTTGAAACAGTTGGTGTTGCCACCTTACTTGAGGGATGGCTTCTTAGGACCTCCCATCCTATACCTTTGCTCCTCCGATGTCCCTCCAGCATGCCTGACCTTTCCCTGCCCCTAGGTCCCTCCACTCCCAGCCCTGGGCCTGCCTTTGCCTCAGGGACCCTTGTTTCCAAATGAGAAGGCCCTTGACTTCTCCAGTGGCTTTCTGCCCAGCTGGGCCAGCTCCTCTGCCAGCCTGAGGTTGAGGAGGAGCAGGGAGAGGGCACTTTCGCCTCCTCTTTACTTCCTGCAGAGCTGGTTTGCACACCCCTCGAGTGTGGGACTAGATTGTGCCTTAGCTCCCTGAGTCCTGGTTCTTACCCCATTTCCTTTTGGCTCACACTTCCTGACTTAATTGCACAGTCTGGTGTGACAGTGGTGGGGGTCCCCAGCTCCCCTCCCCGAGGCCATGGAGGAGGCCATGAAGCTGGAGTTGTGTTAACAATGACCCTATGGCTGAGGGCAGTCTTGGAGACACCCACCTGTGGGGTGTCTCATCCTTGTCTTTGACATGGAGATGGGATGGTATCACATGTGGGACCTTCAGATGGGCTTGATTTTGGGGGTCCCTGTGATATATGAGATGTGATAACAGGGGGCACCCCAACTCCCTCTTCCTCACCAGGTTTCTGATACTCTTGGGTCCCCGGAAGATGAAGACCAGTCCTCTTTCCAGGGAGTGTGAGGACTTCTGCCTAGGAGTGGCTGAAGGCTTACCCCAAATTGGAAGTGGGAGTGTAAGGAACAATAGGGCCTGTAGGGTGCCTGTGGCTATGGCTAGTGTCTCTTGCCCAAGCCAAGGAGCTCACAGGTCCTTGCCTTCTCTCCTCCTGCCCTTCTTTACCCAGAACTCATTGTGGCTGGGGGAAAAGTTGCCCTTCTCCTGCTTCTTATCCATTTATTGGAGACAGAGTCTCATGTAGCCCAGGCTGGCCTCCGACTTCCTACATAGCCAAGACTGGCCTTGAACTCCTGATCTTCTGCCTCCATCACCCCAGTGCTGGGATGGCAGGTGTGACCCCACACCCTGCTCAGAGTAACCAGGCTCTGAGATCAAACGCGGCACCAGAGCCTCCAGCCGTTCAGGAGACTTCCGGCTGCCTTCGTGTAGAACTCTGCTCTCTTCCCCGACGTCGGAAGAGGCGCAGTGCTGTGGGCTCTTCTTGCTTTTGTGAGAGGAAGCGAAGGCACAGGGAACCAGAGAGGAGGGTGTCACCCTGCCCCTCTTCCTGTCACTGTGGGCTTACAGGCGGCCCTTGCAGCTTCTCCCATCTACCCAAAGGGTGAAATAATACCTACCTCACAGGGCTGTGGTGAGGCTTGGCAAGGTTTTTGTGTTTTGTTTTGTTTTCGCTTGGCTTGGAAAGGCATTGGGAAACAAGGTTTATAACTGGAGACAGTCCCACGTCTGTCATGTCCTCATCCCTCTAACACGCGTTACCATAGGAACCGTGGCTCCAACTGATGCTAAGCATCTTGTCCACGGCATTGGTTTTTTTTTTTTTTTTTTTTTTTTTTTTTTTTTTTTTTTTTTTTTTTTTTTTTTGATGGAGGTGATTGGGACTATGGGGGTAATTTTTTATTGTTGTTATCCCAATGCCTGCAATACCTTTTAATGGATAGGGATTAAGAGCACAAAACTTGGTCCTCTTCACAAGGGATGTCCGGTCCTAGTGCTAGCTTCATGCCTGTGCAGACATTGCCACGGATTGCATTAGAATGTATGCTCACAAAGCCATTTCCCCCAGCCAGACCCTCATGCAGGCACGTTTTCAGTAGTGATCTCAGGATGGCTGAGGCTGTTCCATGTACCACTGGGCTACAGAACCTCTTACACAGTTGACTTTGGGAAACCCGGACCCACGCTGGCAATGACATCAGTGAGACCAAAGATGAAGCACAAGTCCCTCCTCATCCTTGACCTCCAAATAGACATCTGCATTCGAGGGCCCAGATCCCTCTGTGTAGAAACTGAGCAGAAGGCGACTGGAACCAGCCTGCCGTGCTGGAGGGCCCCGTGAGAGGGATGCACTGGGAGGGGGGCAGAATTTCACACACCTGGCTGACCAGCTTTTGTGGAGCCTGGGAGGCAAGAGCATCCTTCAGATGGTGGAATTCAAGGGTGCACTCGTGCGGAGTGGTTGTGGCCTGTGGTGTGCGACAAGGTGTGCCTGGTCCGTCTGCAGAGGTGTGACTGAGTGGGTGGGCTGTGCATGCAAGGGGTGATGGGAGATGGGGGGAGGGGGGACCCTGCACTTTCCACAGCCTGAGTTGGAGGCTGGGGAAGGGTAAGAGAAGTGAACAGCCGTGCTCCTGGATTCCACTGGGTGACTCCATCTCAGGGTCACAGTCAGCTGCCATTGGAGGGCTGGGCAGGGATGCCAAGAAGAAGGATTTGTGGGGAGGTCCTCTAGCTTGCTGCACTTTACTTTGTCCCAGATTGGAGTCCCTGCTCTCCCATCCCCCACTGGATACGCAGTGCTTCTGACTATCATATGCATGGTTTGTTCCTCTGGCTTGGATGGCAGTACCCATAGTCAATTTTCCTATATAACTTCATAGATCAAACAGTATAGTGATGGGCTGTGGGTGCCTCAGGTCCATGGTGCCTCTCCGAGGCCCCGACGTGCACAAGCCCACTATTGACTTGTGTTTAAGCACAGATTGAATTCAATTAGGTTGTCTTGCCTCTACAACACGTTTTTGCATTGTAGAATTGGATTTAGCTTCGCTTTGGATGAAATAAAAATTATTTTTTAATAATTTGGGACTTGAGATTTTTATTTTGGGTTGCCTGGGAGTTGAGCTCCAGCTTCATTTCCCTCAGCTGACCAGTTTACCTTCTCTGACCTTTAGTCCACTTGTGTTGAAAATGTTACTTGCTCGGGTGAGATGGTACATGTCAAATGCCTCGGGGTTTCTGACCTACCTGAGACATTTGTATTGTTTTAATTCTGGTCCTTTGGAAAGGAGTCCCTTTAACACTGGGATTCATGCTAGACTCTGTGAGCCGATGGCCTTAGAAACAATTCTGGAGCCACAGGACAGCATCCATCTGAAGTAGATTTTTACCTGGCTACAAAAGCTAACCGGGGGTGGGGGTGGGTGGGGGTGGAGAGCCTGAAGAAGGGGTGTTGCTAACGCGTTGGTCTTGCAAGCATAAGGACCCCACTTAGGGTCCCAGAACACTCATCAACAAAAAAGGCCAGGTGTGGTGATGCACTCTCACAATCCCAGCACCCAAGAGTTAGAGACAAGTGGACCCCTGGGGCTCACTGGCCAGTAAGCTCTAGGCCAGTGAGAGACCCTGTCTAGAAAAAAAAAGGTGAGTGGCACTGAGAAACAACAGACATTTATTGTTCTGGCCTCCACATGTGTACTTGCACTACACCCCCCCCCCAAAACATGTGCATCTGCACACGCACATACACAACATATACACATGCATGTGCGCACACACACAGGATTAACCATCGTGAGAGTACCTGTCTGGTATGTGCAAGGCCCGGCTTCAATCCGCATCCCACCCAAAAGATTTAACTGACACAGCCATTGTTATGGTTTAGATAGAAAATGTCACCATAAACATATATTGAGTGCGACGTTCAGAGGAAGGGTTTGGGGAAGGAACTGGATCATGAGGGCTCTGGCGCCATCAGTGGATTAATCCCTTAATGGGTTCATGGCTTGATGGAATTATTGGGAGGGGGTGGAGACCAGGAGGTGGGGCCCAGAGGAGGCAGGACAGTGGGATGTGTCCTGGAATGCTGTACCTCATCTTTGACTGTTTCCTCCCTCCCTTCCGGGCCGCCATAAGGTATGCAGCTTTCCTATCATGCCCTTCTACCTACCATGATGTTTCTACCTTGTCATGGGCCTAAGAGGAATAGAGTCAGCCAATCATGGACTAAAACCTCCAACACCTGAGCCAAAGGAAATCCTTCTTCCCTTAAGCTGATTGGCTCAAGTATTTTTGTCACAGCAACAAAAACTGACCAATACAAGCAACCGCCAGTGAAGTGTCCTGGAGACGTCAGCTCAGCCCTCTGTGCCTCAGTTCCCTTGCTTGCTGAGAGGGAGGAGTCATGTCTATTTGGTGAGGAGCCTGTGAGATTATGAATAAGGCCACATGTAAGAAGCACTTCAGAAATGCCCAAGTGTTGGCTGTAAAAATATAAGGAATGTCGGAGCCAGGTGACAGCTTTGCAAGTGTCCAGGAAGAGCCTGAAGCTAAGCTCCCACCGAGGCCAAGCCAGCCAGAAGGGAGGCAAGCAGAGAAGAGGTCGAACTTACCCCTCTTGCTCCTGGTCGGCAGGGGCGGTCAACTGTATGAGGCGGAGCTCATGTTAGGAAGTGACATGGTGACTGATGTGGTTACGACAACAGTCCAAAACCAAGCTCATGGTCTCACCTCATTCTGAGGTGTTCATCCCCACTGTTCCCCACTCACCCAGTCCTCTAGGACAAAATGTCCGACTCCACCATGACACCGACTTTTCTCTCATTAACTCCTTAACTGCCCCCTCCCCCACCTCTTTCGCAGGAGCCCTCAGCTCTATGCCAAAAACATATTATGGATTCAGCTTCCCTTGGCATTGTCAATCTTACAGTCACAGCCCAGGCAACAGCTTTTCATGTTCTTCCTCGTCTCCTATGAGTGCCCACATATCGCCATTCATTCTAGCTGTGAACAATGTGAACAATTTCTGGTCCCATGCCAGCTCTGGGGATTTTTTCCTCTAATACCCTCTAATTTGAAGTTGTTTCATACATGTTGCCTCATATAATCCTCATGGGGTTCTCACGGTGTAGACACAACTACCCCCACCTTGCTGGTGAGGGAGGTGAGGGAGCCGAGGCGCAGAGGGCTGAGCGGGCTTCTCAGGTTGGTTTTCTCAGCTTCAGGCCTGCTTTACAGGTAGCCAAGCACTTCAGCGATTCCTTAGGGAGCTTTGGAGCTCTCTTCCTGTGACACTCTCTCTTCTCTGTCTCTCTGTCTGCTGAACTTCATCTGCTTTGGCTTCGCGGACCTCCAGCTCTGTCTCTGTGGTGGTTTAAATGAGAGTGGCCCCATAGGTTCATCTGTTTGAATACTTGGTCCCCAGTTGGTGGACCTATTAGGAAAGGGTTAGGAGGTGCCTTATGGGAGGAAGTGTGTCAGTGGGGATGGGCTTTGAAACTTCAAAGGCCCACACCAGGCCCAGTCAGCTCTAACTTTTGGATCAATATAAAAGCTCTCAGCTACTGCTCCGGTGCATGCCTGGCTGATACCGTGCTCCCCGCCGTGAAACTATAAACCCCAATACACGATTTCTTCTGTAAGTTGCCTTGGTCTTGGTGCTTTGTCACGGCGATTGAAAAATGACTATGACAGAAGTTCTCCTTATTTCCTGGAGGTTGTGGGACCCTGCCACAGAACACTCCCTGCATGTGGCGATGATGAAACTCCCTTCCTCTGTTCTCCTCTCTCAGGCCTCACTGACTTAGGTTGTCCCATCTGTGTGCTAAAGATGTTGAGGTATTTCCCTAGTGTTTCAGTTGCTTGGGGGGTGGGGTGGGAAGCAGATCCATTCCTTTCCCGTCGCTCTATATTGTTGGAAGAAACTCATGAAAATATACATTCTTGTAAAAACTCATTCAGAGGTGTTTTTAGACATTTTATTTTGTTATCATCCAAAGCAAGAAATAACATAAATGTCTTTGGACTGGTAAGTATATGTAACATGTTGTCTTGTGTTCCTATAACAAAACACCAGACGCTGACTAATATATAAAGAAAAGAGTTTTGTCTAGCTCACAGTTCTGGAGGTCAGAGAGTATGACACTGGGATGTGCTGGATTCTGGCCAGGGCCTTCTGGTAGACGGCATTACAAAGGTCAAAGTATGTGTTGAAGAGACAAGCAGTGTGTGAAGAGAGGTTCGGGGGAGAAGCTAGTCTGGTTTAGAACAACCCACTCTTGAGGCACTCCCAGGCAGTATTATTAATCCATTCGTGAGGATGGAGCCTCCATGGCCTAATTACCTCCCACCGGGCCCAAGTGAAGTTCTATCACACCCCAACACTACAACACTAGGGACGAAGTTTCCAGAACACGGACCTCTGGGGGGCAAGTCAGCACTGGGTAAGCGTCCTGTCACAGATGCCCACAGTGAACATCCCTCAGGGAGAAACAGTGCCGGGGCTGACAAGGGCTGATCTCAAACAACAGTGAGCTAAGAGAAGGAGTTCGGATGCCAAGAGGGTCTCTACTTCATCAGTTGTGACCAATGTCTCACTCAGGTGAGGGACATGGATATCTAAGACTGTCCCTCAGTATGGAGAGGGTATATGGGAAATTATTTTACACTCTGCTCAGTTTTTCTGTGAATCTAAAACTTCTCTAAAAACTAAAGTCTTAAAAAAAATGGTGCTGTATCATTCACTTTCTCACTGGGACAGAATTCCTGACAAAAGCAGCTGAAGGAAAGAAGGAAGGAAGGAAGGAAGGAAGGAAGGAAGGAAGGAAGGAAGGAAGGAAGGGTAGCTTGGCTCACAGTTCTAAGGGATACAGTCTCCTGCGTCAGGAAAGGCAAGGAAGCATAAGTAAGGGACAGCTGGTCACACTGCATGTGCAGTCAGAAAGCTGAGTGCAATGGATGCTTCCCTTCAGCCTGCTTTTTCCTTTCATTCAGTCCTAGACTCCCATGTCAGGGAATGATGCTGCCCACGTTTAGGGTGGCTCTTCCCTCCTCCAGGAACCTAATCTTGATAACCAGGCAGAGACATTCCCAAGACTTGTTTCCATGGTGATCCTAAATTCCATCAAGCTGACATTGAAGTTGAACCGTCACCTATTGCATAGCTCCGTTTCTATAATGTTCTAGAAAAGCAAACTATAGAGACGGATGGATAACAGAACAGTGAGTGCCATGGGCTACGGATAGGGAAGGACTGGCGTGGAGACTTTTCGGGGAGGGTGGAGCCACTGTGGTGGCTGCTTGCCCATACATGTTTGTCAACACTGGCAGAAGTGTGCACCAAAATGGTGACTATCATTGTAAGTGGATTATTACTTTGGGAAAACTATGAGGAATCCAATGACATCACCCTTTGGCTCAGAACTTTCCAGTCTAACTTACTAGCCTAGCTCTGGCCCCAGTGCCTCTGATATTTTCCTTTTCTGATGCTATCCTGCTGACTCGTTCTTTTTTAGCCTCCCCTGGATACCTATGTTCTTTCTCTACGAGAATGACCTTCTACAGAAGTGCAAACAGATGATGCCAGTTTGAGGTCTTTGGGTCATTATGGGAATGTCCGCAAATGAGATTAAGGTACCTCTGCACCCTCCTCTTCCTCTTCTGCTATGTGTTTCTGTGTGATATGCTGCCTTACCATAGGCCCAAAGCAAAAAACTGATTATGGACTTCCAAAATTGTGGGCCAAAAGCTTCTTTTCTCTTTGTAAGTTAATTACCTCAGGTATTATAATATAGTGATAGAAAACTGAACAATACAGTTGGTGTATTCTATCCAGCTCATTTATTTTCTCCTTATTTTTATTAAGAAATTAAAATTACGTGTGTGTGTGTGTGTGTGTGTGTGTGTGTGTGTGTGTGTGTGTGTCCAATTGGACTTATGTGTGGAAGTCAGAGGTCGATTTGTGAGAGTCAGTTCTCTTATCACACCATATGGGTCCTGTTTTGTGTTAAAATAGCAAAATACGCAAGGTTGGATATTTTATAAAATAAAGAGGTTCATTTCAGCCTGGACGGTCCAACAACAT